AATATTTATTTTAAAAAATTTATTAAAGTTTTAATTTTTAAATAAATAATTTGAAACTACTGGAAAAATTGAAAACAAATTATGAACAATTTTTTTCGGAAGAATTTCAATTGTAATTTTTTATAAATATTTTGTGCTTTAATTTGAATTTTAATTCTTGAAGAACATTAAATTAAAATGAAAAATTTTAAAATTTCCTAAAATTGTATTGAAAATAATTAAATTTTTTAATGATTTTTATTAAAGTTTTTGAATATAATCGAATTTTCGAAGAATTTAAATTTTTAAAATTCATAAATTTTTATGTAAATAAATCCACAACAATAATATTGTAGGGTAAACGTACCAATTGTCGAGGATGGTTACTGTTGTCGAGTAAACAAACTTTGGAATTTATTTAAACATTGTAGCACATTGTAAATGGAAAAAAGTGATAAATATTAATTTTCCTATGCGTTAGAAATGTGAAAAAAATATATTAATATTATATCCACAAACAAATGAGACATTTTAGACAATATTTTTTGGTTATTACCATGGTAACATCGACAAATGGGACACCCTCGGCAATTGGTACACTTACCCTAGATTTTGACCACTTCTTTTAGGTTTATGAGCAACCTCAAGAAATTCAAAAGCTTTTAAAAGTAATTAAATTTCAGAATAAGAGTTACAATTACAATTTTTGATTGAATTTATATTTAGGATGTAAAATTAAAATTTTTTTAAGTAATTAAAGTTTTGAAGAAGTTTGTTAAAAATTATAAGCTAACTTTAAGGATTTAAAAATTCAAACAATGAAAACTTGGAGAAGAATTTAAAATTTCTTTTAAAATAGTTTGAAAAAAAACTTTTGAGTCTCGGTGAAGAAGATAATGAAAAAAGTCGTACTGTTTGTTCTATAATTACCCCGATTGATGGTACTTTCGCTCTTAAAAAAATAATCTTCATTTGTCGCGATTATGAAAGCGTTTATAATTAATATATGATAAAAAATTTTTTTTTTGTCATTTAAAATAAGTCATTAAAACATCAGCTTGAAAAATGAATTGAAATAATATTCTGGTTCGTTAAAGCAATGAAAGAAGCTTTTGTTCTTGAAAATCCTTTGCCAGTGCGCGACTACTCTGGTTTGGCTTTGAGAATGATAAAATTACTGCCAGCGGCAGTGTAACATTGGTCGAAGCAACTTATTAATGTCGCAACTACCCTAGAAAATGAATCTTAGTTTGTCACTGTGAAAACATCTGCATCGTGATAATTACTTTTGAAAATGGTCTACAAAAGTGATTAAAGTTTTTTAACGAGCAATTTTAAAAGTGATATTCACTATGAATGGACTTCTTTCTTTCTTCCTTCTTTCATAGAGTACCTATCACTTATTGAAATTGTTAATAATATTAATTAACTCTCTTTTAAAAATAAGTTTTAATAAAATAAGTTCAAGTAAAGAATTTCATTCAACTTTTAACAATTTAATTTTAGTTCATTTCAATCATTTATTCTTTTAAAAATAAGTTTAATAAAAAAATTTCCATTCAAATAAAATAATTAAAACTCTAATTGAATTATTTAAAAGGAAATTAATTTATAATTTATTATTGTAATTAGATGACTTATAGTTTAAAATTTTTATTTTAGCTTTATTTATAGTTGTTAATTTATATTTTAGTTTATTCATAGTTTAAAATTCAAAATTTATTTTTGATTAATTTTTCTATAAGACAATTAAATTTTCGAAATAAATTAAAAAGTTTTCTTTATAACATTTTAAAATCCGATTATTTACAATACTTTCAATTATACATTTCGATTAAAATTAATATTTTTGAGAAATCAATCATTTTAAAAATTATTAATGAAAATTCTTAAAAAAATTAATTAGTTTTTAAATTGCCCAAAAATTCTTTTTAGAAATTCAATTATTTTTGAAAAACTATATTAAAAAATTTTTAAAAAACTAATTCTTAGAATTATTATTATTATTTTAAGAAATGCAATTATTTTCAATTTTTTTTACTAAATTTCTATTATTTTAAAGTTTTTCAATTATATGAATTTAAGAATTTTTTAATAATTAAAATAATTAAATTAATTTAAATTTTGAAAAAAATTTAATAAAATATGTTAAAAATTCAATTCTTTTCAAAAACTTTGATAAAATAATTCCTTCTAGAGAATTCAATATTATTTTCAATACAATTTTACGAAATTTTAATTACTCGAAAATGTTTCAATTAAATAGTCTTCAAGAATAAGAATATTTATAAAAAATACCAATTAAAATTCTTCAAAAAAATTATTTATAATTTTTTTCATTTTTTTACAGTATTTTTAACTAAAATTATTTAAAAATTTAATAATTTCTTAAAATTAATATTTAAAAATCCATATTTTGTTACAAAAAAAATTAATATTCAATTTTTAAGTGCATTTTAAATTGTCATCAATTTGAGTTTAAAACCTAAATACCAGATTTTTTAAAAATTATTGTAATAATTATAAACAAAAATATTTTTCAAAATCAATTATTTATATTAATTTTGATAATGCTTTTCAAATAATTTAATTATGTATTCCCAAAAAATTTTATCTGCAACTCTTACAATTTTCAATGAAACTTTTCCATGAATTCAGTTTTTAAAAAAATTCAATTAAAATAGTCTAAAATTCAATTATTTTTATAAATTAGAACTTTCTCTCTTTCAAAATTCGATTATTTTTAATATTGTTAACTATGTAAAACATTTAGCAAAATCAGTTATTTACATTTAGTTTTGTGAATGCTTTTCAAAGAATTCAATTATTTCTAAATATTTCAACCGTAACTCTTCCAAAATACAATTATTTTCTTCAATAAAAATTTTCAAAGAAGTCAATTATAAAAATTCAACGAAAATACATCTAAAAAATCAATTATTGTCAGAAACAAAAAATGTTGATAAAAATTAATTATTAATTTAATCAAATTAAAATTTAATGTGAATAATTTGAGATTTTTAAAAGACAACAAAAATTTATAATTTTCATAGTATTTTACATTAATAAGTACCACAACGTTTATAATCAACAATTTATAAAAAAAAAATTTCTATTAAAATTTTTATAAATTTTTGTTTTAAAATGTTTTACATACTTTCATGATCAATAATTTAGAATAGAAAAATTTGTAAATAAAAAAGATTGTTTTTTCTCAGGAAAATGTTTTTTCAGTCGTAAATCGTAAACGTTATAAACTTCGTTGTTTTTTTTAGAAATTTGATAGTCTTTATTTGATCATGATATATTCCATAATTACCACCGTTGATTTAAAATTATTTCAAAGAAAAAAAGGTAGGTGGTCACTTTTTCTAAAAAATATTTTTTAATCCTTTTTGTCTAAAAAAAGCGATTTCTAATGAAATCTGTTTTCTAAAAAAAGTATTTTTAACACGTTTTGATTTCTAAAAAAAGTTTTTCTAAGAAGTTATGTTTTCTAATATGTATTTATTTTAATATTTTCCTAAAATTTTTAAAAATCCATAATTTTGATAAAAGTTAGAAAATTGTTAAAAAACTAAGATTAAGAAATAAAAATTATTTTGCATATTTTCTGTTTCTCAATCACAATTTTCTTTACAAAATTATAAGTTTCTTTTTGAAAAAGAAGAGAAAATTTTATAAAATTACTATTTTTTATTACAATTTGTTTTTCTTGTAAAAAAATAATAATTTGCATCATTTTTATGTTGAAATTTCCAAAATTAATTTATTTATAAAACACTTTTTTAGAAAATTTCAAATAACTTAAGGAAAAAAATCTCTATAATTTCTAATTGTTAATTACGATTTTTAACTACATTATTTTAAAGTTTTGTTAAAAAATTTGCGTAATTTCTATTTTTTAACAAAATCTCAAATATTTTTTTTAAAGAATTAAAACATTTTCGTAAATTTTATTCTTTAATCATATACCTATTGATCGTCATTACAAAAATTGAATATTGTTAGAAAAAAAGATTTTGAAAATCACCTTTATTAGAAAAAGAAATTTTTAGAAATTTACTTTTCATAGAAAAAAATTTTTTAGAAAATAAAATATTAGAAAATTTACAAGTCTATAGCAAAAAAACTAAAAAACCATAAATATTACACTTTTCTTTGTGCTTTTAAAGAGCTTCTATTTTCTCTTTATTCAAGAGTATTACAGCTTTAATATAATAGTCATGAATATAATCCAGACAGAAAATACATAAGTGAATTTAGTGAAAATTTACGAGCCTTTTAATCTTTACGCACAAAAGATAAAAGTGTTGCCGCTTGCTTTCTAATAAAAAAATTCCAATTATTCAGAATCACGACGATGAAAAGGAAAATCTTTTTTTAATTCAATTTTAAAAACAAGGGGATGTTTATAAGTCAGATATAAATTTTCTGGCTCTCTCTCTCTCTCTCGAGCGCGCGCGCGTTTTAGTATAAATTTCCTCCTCTCAAAATTCATTAAATTCAACTACAGACATGTATATAGTTATAGGGAGAGAATTCTCTTTGTATAGCCAGAAGATTGTTATTATTATTATTCTTCTTTTTTTTCTTGAACTTTTGCCAACTGACCGATCGAAGGAAACACACATAAAATTTGGATAGCATGTGTGCCTTTTCTCTCGTTTCTTAAAGCTTTCAATTCCCAGTTTTCGGAAGATTTACTACTAGCGGCTATCCAAACGGGATAAGGATTATACGCGAGAGATTGTATACAGAAGTTCGAAAACTATAGGGGATAATATTTTACAATTCCCGTCTCTAGCAGCTCTCGGAAAACTCTTGGGGAGTATAGTGGGTTTCTGACTAGTCATCAGCGGTACTATATATAGTATAACAAAAGGGCGGTACACGATGCTCTCTGAGGAGCAAAAAGAAAAGAAAAAAAGAAAAAAAAAGAGCCATCACCGTGAATAGTTTTTGGTATAGATAGCACATATAGAGCAATGGTTAGAGAAAAGTAGAAAAAGCTTACATACCAACTCCATTGGTTTGCGAGGACGAAAGTTGTACCGCGACACCAAAACCGCGCAACTTCACTGGAGCTGAATTCTCCTTTCCGGCGAGAAGAGCGCACTGTGGTTTCAGGTCTCGATGGATTATATCATTCTCGTGACAATAACGTAGGGCTTCCAAGATCTGTCTCATGTAGTGGCTGAAATTGAAACGCAAGCTTTTAGAATTTTGTGTCAACGTTTGCCTCTTATCGTCGCAGGACAAAGTCTTTTCAAATATCATTTCATTTCTTTCATATATATATATTTTTTTTATACACACTTACACTTTATTTTACTTTTAATTTTTTTTTTTTTTTTTTTCTAAACACAAACCTTGTTGACTTTTATTCCCGAGGTAGATTTATCTCCTTCAAATCAAATCGCTCTTTCTATCCATCTTATATACTCGGGAAATGGAAATGTCTTATGTGATATTATACATCGAATAAGATTTTCAAAACACAATTTCACTGGATTTATGTGATTGATTGCAACTTATTCACTAGTAAACGCGAAGAGAAGAAAATTTTGCTATTTTGGAAAATATTTAGTTACCTAAATTTTAATTGCTATTAGGATATGCTATTATACTATATTATATTATATTTGACATCTACACTTAATTCTTACATCGATTCTTTATAGTTTGAGCTTCAATTTATTTTTGTAAAATCAGTTGCGCATAAAAATATTGTATACTTTAATCAAGGTGGTGACAAGTTTCAGTTTATCAATAATTTCCCTGACAATTTACTGATATTAAAATTATTTTCCCTGACAAAATTCTTTTCACAGGAAAATATAAAAGTTTACGGAAAATGAGTAAAATTTATGAAATTTAATAATTTCTAAAAATTACAATTATAACCCTTCCTGAATTCAATTATTTTCTACAATTTTCAACTAAACTTCATCTCTAAATTAATTACTTTAAATAATTTTCCGAAAGATCTTCGAGAGAATTAAATTATTTAAATACAAAAACTCAATTTTTTATAATAATTGTAACTGTCCATGTTTTTTTCTTAAGTTTATTAAGGTATAATATTTTCAAAAAATAAAAATAATCAAATTTTTGAAGAATTTGAATTATAAATATGACCATAATTTCTCCAAAATTTTAAAAGTCCAAAAAAGTAAATTTTTATTTGCTTTATTCGAAGATAATTAAATCTTAAAAAAATTATGATAAAAAAATTCTAAGAATTAAGTAGTTTTTAAAACTATTTTAATGTAATTTTTCGAAAACAATTGAATTTCTTAAAAGAGTTTTTGTATAGTTTAAAAAACCAAATTAATTTTTCTGATGAATATTAAAGAAATATTTTGAACATGATTTTTTTTCTCCAAAATGTTAAAAATAATTCTAAAATGTTAGTATTTTTTCATTAAAATTTTTGATAATTTAATTATTTTGAAAATTTGCTATTTAATTTGCAATTAAAATTCTTCAAAAGTTGATTTTCAAAATTTCTAACAAAATACTTGGGCGACTTTTGTGATTTTTTTTCATGTGATTTTAGGTAAAAAAGGGGATTTTAATTTTTTTAAAGGGGATTCAAATTTAAAAAAAGGGGATTTGTCAAATTACTAAGTACTACAGTCAGTAAATTGGAAAAATATTTGTAAATTAAAAATATTCCATTCATTTGATTGAATGTTTAGAATATTTGGAAATCATAATTATTAGCAAACATGATACTTTTTATTGTATTGTAATTTCGTTGTTTATTTAATGGATTTTTTTTAATTTTCAACTGGTACTGAAAGTTTAATATTATTATTAAGCTTCAAAAACCTCGTCGGCCATTTTTTGTATCCCATGAAAGGACTAAGTTATTATAGAGTTTTACGAAAGCACTGCAAGTGGCTTTTCTGCACCACCTGGTGGGGGGAGGGTAAACAGTTTGCGATTTTGGCAAAATATTTTATAAATTTTTGTGCTTTTATGTTTTTCCTTTATTTATGTAATAAATAATCTGATTTTCAAAATATTTTAATAAATTTCAAAGAGTTTTTAGCATGCAAAACTGTATTTTATGTTTAGTCCTCGTATATCATATATCATTAGGTCAAAATCATAAGGTTTCAACATAAACTCACAGTCTCATCTTCGTAATTAAATGAAGTAATTTCACTAATTAGTAGTTAAAATTTATCAACTTAATAAATTAAAAAAATATATAATATTATTATTAAATAATTTATGTTGATAAAAAGCAATAAATTTCAAAAAATAAATATTATTCTCACCAAACAACTGCTTCACTGTATTTAAATCCGGCTGTTGCTCTTCTTACCACCTCGAAGCACAAATCCGAACCATCCATACTGAAATTTAAAAAAACTTATTAATAAAAATCAAAATTTCTAATTAAAAATTTATCGCATTGTACAGATACGAAGTCAGAGTTTTAAAATTCAAAATGTCGGATTCAATATGGTTGAAGAAAAGTTAAAAATAAATCGGATTTGCTTGAAACTTGTTACTTGGGAATTTTTTAGGGTTTCTAGTTACGAATATGAAGTCAGATTTTAATATTTCAAAGTGACCCCAAAAACTCCCGAGTATTAAGTTTGAAGCTAATCTGAGTGATTTTTAACTATTTCGTTTGTCATATTAAATGTTTTAAAAAGAACTTCAGATTCGTAATCAGTGACCTCGAAAACCTCCAGCTAACAAGTTTCAAGTGAATCCTATCAATTTTTTTATTTTTTCGGACATTTTGGATCCGCCATTTTAAAATTTTCCATTGCTAGGAAAAATCCAGCAACGGATTCGAATTCAGCGTAAGAAGATATGTTAAAAGATACGTTCTAGTCTTTTTGGGTCCAAAAGTTGACCCGAATTTGTAAACAAGTATAATCGCAATTATTATTTGAATAAATAATTATGTATAATAAAATAATTCAAATTATTCGGGTAATAAAATAAATTTCCTTTCAGTGTAAGTCTCATTATTAAAAAAAAAAAAATAAGAAACTTATTTAATGAATAATTTACAATATTTCTGTCTTTTTTGCTAGAATATTTTTTCCTCTTGTTTTGCATATAACTATTAGACATAAGCTTCGTACGAGGTCAATATCGTTCAAACAAGAAAGGCCAACGAACTATAGTTATCCTCGAATGAATGCTGGTAGTGAGTATGAAGGATCGTTAGCACAAGAGCAAGGTAGAAACGCGAATGAGCTTTTTTCTACACGAGAAAAGAAACATTCTCCGAGGGCCACATACCTATTTCTCGGTTTTCTTTCATTCTTATACGTTCATTCGTTTCCATCACTTTTTATACATCTTGTGCTTTCATTGTTTCCACTGCACTTGATTTTTTGCAAAAGTTATCAAGCAAGAAATCACTTCCTTTTAAATCAAAATTATTGTTATTTTCCAACTCGTTTAAAATCACTTTTCCAGACTGTATATATATAAAAAATATATTCTTTTCCACCTTTTTTAATTTAAAATGTATAATTTGAAGCTTTTATTACTTTTAGATAAATGTGACCTCTTCACATAGTTATACAATTTTTTTTAAATTTCATCTTATTTTCCTGAGGGTAATTAATTCAAAACTGTTTTATTAACTAATATTTGTGAGTTTCTGACAAAAAAATTTTCCACACTGCATTAATTTTCCCTAATGAGGTAAACATCTGTCTCTAAGAGAGAAACAGGAATGTAAATAATTGGAACAGAATACAAAAATTTCAAGAATTACACAGCGTCACTAATGAAGAAATTGGGTTAGACAAACAAAACTTTTCCAACGTTAGCAAAGGTTTTAAATAAAGGTAATCTACATCAAGGTTACATATACCTTAGAGTGCTTAGAGCTACTGCGAATTTTTTTTTCAACTATTGTGTTTACTGAAAACTTTTAAATTTTCATAAAATGAATAAAACAAAATCTAATTGTATGAAAGAGAATATAAGGCTCTTTTTAAATTTGACTCTTTTAAATTTAAATGACTTTTATTGTTTTGAATTTATTTAAAAATAAATAAATAATTTATTTTGTTATTTAAATCACTCTTTGTATTTTATATTGTTATTGAAATTACTTTTTGTATTTTAACTTGATATTTAAACTACTTTTTGTATTTTAACTTGATATTTAAACTACTTTTTGTATTTTAACTTGATATTTAAACTAATTTTTGTATTTTAAATTGTTATTTATTTAAATTACTTCTTGTATTTCGAATTTTTATTTAAATTTATTAACAATACAAATTAACAAATGTATTAATTTATTATTAAATTGCAACAAATAAGTATTTCATTTATTTTCAAATGTCGGAAAATGAAAGTTTTATTTTGTTTACTTTGTCAATATAGCATTAAAGAAACACAAGATTTTCCTGAAGTCAAAACTTTTATGCAATAAAGAAAATAAAATGTTTCAAACAAAACTTTTCTGTTGTTTACAGATCGAATTTTAAGGTGCTGATTCTATAAAATATTTGATAGAATTATCAGTTTTAGAAAATTTGTTGCTTCGAAATAATATTTAATTAATAAATTAATTTAATGAATATTTAGTTCAAATTATAACTTACTCGAATTTTCTTCACTTCGAATTGGTATTTTCATGAATATTTTTGGCACTCACGCTGGCACTCTCTTGGAAGAAAGTTGTAAATCATTTTAAGGTTATGTTTGTATATTTTATATTTTTACATTAATTAAAACTTTCTGTGTTTAATTTAAAACTAAAATTAGTTTTTATTAATTATTTACGATGTAATGAAGATTCAAACATCAGTGGTTTATATTGAGAGTTAATCCCCTTTGTGTGTTTTCATTACAAAAATTACAAACATAACCTAAAATTTTTTGCTCCTAAGGCACCTTTCTTCAGAGCGCGTCATATTTATACAGACTTATAATTGAGTACCTGCATGCAACAACTCGCCGAGCGCTCGGCTAGTTGCTGCATGCAGATACTCAATTTCATAAAATTTCATAAAATTGTCAAGTACTTACTGTTCAAACACCATGTAAAGCATCCCCTCGGAACTGTAGGTCTCCAGTAATTCAACAATATGCGGATGTTTCAACATATGCGATATTGTCGCCTCCCGTTTCAAATCTGCAACAAATTCCAATTAAAATAATAAATTTTGAATTAAACACCTCTTCCTTCTTCCATGGATTAAAAACAAAAATAACACATTTTAATCACTGGCTTGTCTATTTTGATGGACGACCATAAATTATATATGATCGAATTATCCTGTAGTTAGTATTCTGATGGCTCGTTCAAGGTCTATTTGAGGCCATCATGTATATAGCCTAAGTCGACATACGACTACCGTTCATGGAAATTTATGATAATGCAACCCCTATTCCCCGACTCCTTGTTTACAAACAAGTACAAACCAGTTTGTGCTATAAGAGAGGGAAAAAAAAGCAAAAATCTATTTTTCCTTTCATATCCAATAGGCTTTTTCCTCCCCGCAAATATAGATTTGCAGGACACATTTATATAGGTATGAATTGTTTAGTTTGTGAAGTGCAGGATAACAGTGATATGATGTTTTCGTTTATTTTCTCCCAAAGCCGGAAATTAATGGCTCAATGTAATATATAATATACACACTCACCCGCTGTGCTGAGTCCTGGACTAGAAGTGAACTTTGCCACATCGACAATTTTTACGGCGAATGTCTGTCCCGTCTGCCGATAAATGCATTTCCGTACTACGCTGAATGGTCCCCTGCAAAACAATAAAGAAAAAAATCAGTCTATACGGCAACAACCTGAATGGAAAATTTCAAGTTTATAACACAAAGAGAAAGAGGCAATATTGTTAGACTAGATTTTTCGTTAATTTAAAATTACCTCGCATTTAAAAATTTTTTAATCTAACCTAATTTATATTTAGTTGAATTACACAGGCCTGCAAAATTCAACTTTTATATTTTTATATCGAAGTACTTTTCAATTTAATTTTGTCCACTGAACATGATCCTGGTTATCAATACATTACCTAACACAGGATTTTGAAAAAAGTGGGGATTAAGGCTCTTAAAAACACTTTTTAGAGTCTTTACCTACACTTTTAAAATGTTCACTTTTTTATTAGACTGAATTAGGTATTTTTGTTTGGAAAACAGAACACAAGTTCCAAAATTGTTTAACACTTCTGGAGTTTGAAAAATGTGAGGTAAAGATCACCAAAATAGCACTTTTTAGTATTTACCCAACTTTTCTTAAAATCTGGATGTGTTAAGCAATTTTGGAACTTGGAATCGTTTTCAACGAACAAAAATACACTGAAGACTACTACAATATCAAAAATAACAAATAAATTTTTTTTTTGGTTTTTACCCCCACTTTTCTCAAAATCCTGACGTAATAGTCAATTTTGGAACTCGAGGTCGTGTTCAGCAGGCGAACATACATTGAAAACGACTCCAATATCAAAAATAGCGAAAAAAACTTTTTTTGGTCTTTACCCCCACTTTTCACAGAATTTTCTAGTTTTTTTGTCTTACACGTTGTGGGTCTTAAAGTGCACGTTTTAAACTTCAAATTAAGACCTTATGAAAGGCTATAAGAAAACTTGTTTTTAACCTAGAATCTTATATTAAAGTTTGAAACGTGCTGTTTAAGACCCTTAATTCACAAGACCAAAAAAATAGATTATTTTGAAAAAAGTGGGGGTAAAGATAAAAAAATTATTTTTTTTTTATTTTTGATAGTGGAGTCGTTTTCAATGTATATTCGCCTGCTGAACACGATCCCAAGTTCCAAAATTGACTATCACTTCAAGATTTTGAGAAAAATGGGGGTGAAGACCATAAAAAATTTTTTTTTCGTTATTTTTGATATTGTAGTAGTTTTCAATGTATATTTGTTCGTTGAAAACGATTCCAAGTTCCAAAATTGACTATCACTTCTATATTCTGAGAACAATGGTAGTAAAGACCCAAAAAAAAATGTTCTTAGGAGTCTTTACCCCCCACTTTACTTGAAATCTGGAATCTCGGAACCCGAAATCGTTTTCCGCGGACAAAATTACATTAGAAACCATTTCGTTATTAAAAATAAAAAACCATGCAGGCTTGTGATATTAATTTACAATATATGATAATGTACCCATTATCACTAATAATAATTGAATACCCGCTTACAAACGGAATAAATAATATGCCAGTATTGGGTACAAAATACTGAAAAACCCGTATTTAAACAAAATTTTTACCAACGAGATATGAATGATGAGAAAATACTCTCGACCATATAATATCTTCAACTCCAAAACCCGTTCGATTAAATTGACAATGGGTTAAATTAATTGGTCTTGCATTAAAATTCTAATCAGCAGGGAAAGCATATCGCAGTTAGAATCGTGAGTTTAATCAAGACGATGGAGAGTTGGATATTCGGAAATTTCCGACAATGGGTGTAACCACAAAATCCATTGGAATTGAAAGCAGCCCACGTGCCTCTCCTCTATATTACCGTTGTTTCCACATTATTGGACATCCGTTGGATAGACACATCGACCAGGTACCACATGAAGGAATGGGAAATTGAACTCAATGAATGGGATTATTAACACACAGGTCAAAAGGAAATAAATAACATTTCTACACTTCCACATTGTTAGTGTAACTTTCATATAGTCTCTCACGAATCACGTATAACACATGTTTGCGAGGATATACAATGATAAAATATTGTTGACAGCACTTCTTCTTCTTCTTCTTCTTCTTCTTCTCCTAAAGCTCCTTTTGATTGTTGAAAAGCTTTCCGTTCCCAATGGAACAGAAATGTTGCAACTCGTCAACGATGCTTCAAAGTTTTTAGAGTAACAATACTAAAGTTAATACACAATTCATCTTAAAATGGATCTGTAAGTTTTTGAAGGGGATTTCTAGGGAATTGGTGTACAATGAGAGAGAGAGAGCCTCGAAACAAGTAGATTGCATTGGGAATATCAGTCTTTCAAAACCTCTTGTGCAGATGCCACCAGAAATGCTCTTGCTTTTTATCACTCTTCCTCTTTTTTTTATTTACCAGTCTACAAACGAGCTCTAGAGTACAAATTGGTGGAAATTAAAATGAAGAAAACCACCCTCGACGATTTATATAATATCATTGAATAAGAGAATTGTCTTCTTTATTTTCTTCCAGGATAATTTTGTACCTAAGAAACATTTACTATTCTCCGTTAGCTTATTTAGTACTAAAGGAGTTAAGGTAAATGTTTGTTTTGTATTTCAATGATTCGAATTTAGAGTATATATTATCTCGAGGAGAGAACTAATCTTATTTGTGTAGAATTAACTTCTCATTAATGATGTTTAAATGTTTTTAGTATTATTAGATATCAATAATTTCTTTATGTTTATTTTTATAAACAAAAATTATTTAATTTATAACTAACATAGTTTTCTGAAAGGTATCAAATTACAGTTTTCTTGAAAGTATCAAATTGCTACTGAACTGTATCGAATTGATACAAAAAATTTAGATCAGTTTTTGATTAGATCCACATTCTTGGTATCAATTCGTTGCAATTTGATGCTTTCAAGTTAAAAATGAAACAGAAAGTCCACTTTTTAATAGAATCAAGAAAACAAAGTATCATTAGTAACTTATTTATAAAAATAGTAGAAGAAATTTCAGAAATTTCAGGCATCATCTTGAAACCAAAATTTAATTTTTTACAAGTACTTATACAAAAATCTAATAAAAACAAAGAAATTTTATTTTCTGATTTTTAATGTAAATACCTAAAAAAACAAATGCCATTTAACAGTGCAAAATAATTCCAAAACAATCATTTATCCAAAATTATAAACGAAAATATTTCGTATAGTTAGGTTCCACGGTATGTAAAAGGTAAAAGAAAAACACTCTTTTACTTTTTTATAATAATTATAATTTTTATAAAAAAGTAAAAGAGTGTTTTTCTTTTACCTTTTATATACGTCTTCCAAAAATCGAAAAAATTAATTTATTAAATAATTGTGGAAGAATTTACTAAATATTTAAATAAACATTATATTAAAAGATAATTAAATTTAATCGTAAAAAGAACGTGCGGATGTTGGATTTGGAGCGAAATAACGCATCCTTCTACATGCCAATCGAATTGTTAAAATTAACAGCATCATTATCTGTTGTGGTAACTTTTGCACAAATAACCAGTACTTATCGGTTAAGTAAATTATATCATTTTTTACCTTGCATGCCTTTGTCAAGTTAATTTAACAGAAAATCAGTTTACATTAAAAAAAGATTTATCGTAATAATCTCGATTGTTTGGTAATTAATATGAAACCTGAAATCACTAACATACTTCAATCAGTCAAAAATTTTCTTTTTTCCCCACAAGCAATCATAAACGTAGGCAATACTTTTGTGCTCATTTAAAAATAAAAATTATTATTTTCACAACGCGAGCAGCACATTTATCAGCAATTGAATAATTGGTTTTTGAATCAAGTTGTACTTATAATATATATAGAAGCAGAAAGCATGCTTTTCAATCAGCTCATTAATGGTATGGAATAAAAAAACATTCAATCTTTCACATTGAAAAAAATCGATTTTTAGATGAATTAATTCATTGATTCAAGTAAAAGACAAATAAATATTTGTTCAATTAGTTGTCAATAATCAGATTTCGCAACCAAAAGCGGAAATTTAACATCAAAAAGGGGAAAATTAAATGTGAATAAAAGTTGATTTTTCAAATATATAATAATAAAAAACAAGAATTCTTTTGGCGTTATCGCAAAGCGTTCATATGGATATTCAGTCGTTTTGTCGTTTAGTTTTACGATCCTTGGCTATTATCCAAGAGCATGACAACAATTTTATTTAGATGTCACAATAGTGAACGCCGCTATTTCGATGAATCTTAAATGAAAATTTTGTATTTTATTTGTGAAAGCAAAATAAAAAAGTACGTTATTCACAAAGGCGGATGGAAAAAATGCTTTGTAAATTTTTTTCTAGTCAATAAACAGAATGCTTTTTTTAGAACTTATATTTCTGAAAAATGAATATAATTAAAAGTTTTTACATAACATATGTCAAGTACTACTAATTTAAAAAAACATTTTAAACTTTGCAAAAAATGTCGAACTCTTGAAAGCAAAACTTTCTTTAGAAGGAGTGTTCAATACAGTGCATCCCGATAACAACAACTTATGACCGAATATATATCAATCAAGTATTTTTATACTATTAAAATATACTTCTGTAAAAAAATTTTAAAATTCGATTTCTTTTTTACTTGGGTAAGTGCATCAATTACTGCTGGTGCTTTAGTTATTGCGCTTTAATGAAGATTGTAATTAATTTTTAATTTAATTAACTTTAAGTTCAATTTTTTCGACACAAATATCTTTTTTCTATACAGAAGATATCTTGGCTGAAATTCCACAGTAATTGATGCGAGACCTCATTGATACACTTGCCGTAAAAAAATGTACAAAACCCTTTTAGAAATAAACGTTAATTAAAATATCGAGACAATTCAATAAACTAATTTTGAATAAGAAGCGTAGGGTAAATGTACCAATTACTGCTCGATTCCCGTCAAAGCACATTTTGAATAAAAAATATGACATTTACATTGAAATAAATAAGTTTTATTTGATCAAACTGAAAATTATAAACAGCGAATATATTACATCAAAATGACGTCTAGAATTAATTATCTTATGACATAAATTATTTACTTATTCATGATTAAATATTTCTCCATTTGGCATATGTTACAATTTGAACTTTTCGTCATTTGTAAATAATTTTTTTTATTTCAATAAAAGAAAATAGTATAACTAACGTCACTTTATATATCTGAATATTTGTGAAAATTCCTATTAATGTGAGTATAATTCTGCTATAAGTACACAAAAATTTCAGACTCAAAGTTTCTTTTTCAAAATCAATATAAAAGAAATAAATCAATATTAAAAGAAAACACTTGTGGTTACGCTGTCTTAAACTGCATTAACCACATTATACCATACAAAAGATCAAGTTGTCAAAAACTTTAAATTTGAAGTTTATCGACTGACAAATTAGTTTACAAAAAATATCTAAGAAAACTTTTCAAAAGAACTGCCTTCAATACACAAAATACTGTACAAAACTATTTTATAAATTGGAAAAGAAACTTTTCAAAAAAATATATTACAAATTATTTTAATGCAAAATCTTTTCGAAAGAAAATTAATTAATCTTTAACAGGTTAGAAGTTCTGATCACTTAAACAATTGGGTCGAGTAAATTTTTTATTTTATAAACTATTAATTGTTGTTACTTGAAACTTTTATCACCTTATAAATACAAAGTTAAAGATTTATTTCAATCTAAAAAAATCTACATCAAAATATTGTTAATGTTTCCTTGAGTCGAATTGACGTCAAAATTCAACAAAAATTTCTTGTAAATTTTTAACAAAATTTTTGGTATCTGTTTAATCCACTTTAGTATCAATTTGATACTTTCAAAAAAATATTGTTTTTTGAGATTGCGAACGATTTTGATACAAATTTTTGTTATCAATTTGATCTTCTTTTGGTATCAATAAATTCGATACTTTCAAGAAAACTATTGTTTTTTTGGTATTGCGAACGAATTTGATCCAAATTTTTGGTATCAGTTTAATCCATTTTTAATCTAAATTTGGTACTTTCAAGAAAAATATTGTTTTTTGGGATTGCGAACGATTTTGATCCAAAATGTTTGTATCGCAATTTGATCCGCTTTGGTATCAATTTGATACTTTCAGGAAAACTATTGTTTTTAGGATTGCAAATGATTTTACAAATCAAGTGATAATGATACCTAATAATAATAACATTAAAATTAAGTAGCGAAAAAAGATTATACAATAAAAATAAAGATTATTCTCGAAAGATAAAATGATTATTGAATTATTAAAATTCATAAAAGCTTTCCATATTGAATAAAGGATTTTCTGTAATAACCAGTAACTACGAAGAACTAAAGAATGCAGACATAGTAAGTACATGAATCCTTCCTTCTTTGCATTAGAATCGAGAGATTCACATTTACATATCCCACCTGGTTAGATAACCTCTTACATTATTTACAGTTCCTCCTCTCAATCTTCCGCTATCTACTCTCTCTCTCTCTCCTTTCTTTATAACAAAGAACGAAAAAGAAATTGCAAACTTTATAAACATCTACTTTTAAAATATAATGATACAAAATAATTTTTAAAAATGTATCCTCTCTAAATATTAAGCAAGAGTTAAATTAATAATCGTCTCAACATTTATATTTATCATTAAAATCCAAATATTATAAATGTAGGTAAATATGTTTCCATGTATAATTTCAAAGAAATTTTGTAATTACTTAATTTTTTTCCTTAAACAGGAATTTATTTCTAAAGAAAAATTTAAGCATCATGATTTTTAATTTAATGTTCCTTAAATATAAAAAATAGTTGGTGTACTTTATTTACTTTTTGTTTGGACAGATGTGAAAATTAATATTATGCGTATTTCTTGAATACACACGTTTTTCTTATTGCTAATCGTATACACAAAAACTTTTTATTAAATTAATCAAATAAAAATTAATCTTCAATAAATGAAAACCATGTTTTTTATATAAATATGAGTAACATTCTCGAGAAGAAGTCTTTTGCTAAGGTATTTTTTAGTTCAGATAGATTTTTAAGTATTGTTAAAAATGTTAACGATTTTAGTTTTAATATTTTTGGTTACATTCTCACACGGTGGTAAGTATCAAATCATCAAAATTAATAAGAATCAATTCTCAAGTTAATTATTTCCACTATTTGATACCATTTTTTCAAACATTCAAATGTTTCCTTTTTGTCAAAACAGTTCTTTTTCAATTATTTCTTAACATATTATTTGCTAATAAAAAGGCCTAAATATGATTTTCATATTTAAAATGTAATATTCAATATGCAGTCTAAAATGTTTAGACGCATATGTTCAAATGTTGAAAAGTTTTAGAAGCATTTAACAGAAGTCAATATTGGAAATTTCAGAAAAAGGGTGTCAGATTTCAATAGATCAACAAAATGGAGATTTGAATGAACCGCAACCGCTGATTTTAAGCGAATCCTATAAAATTTTGTTTCCAGACAAAAATAGTATTCTGCAATTTAAAAGTGGACAAACAATTTTGCTAGCCTGTTCGGATAAAAATAATGCTTTCAGTGGACCCTTTAAGCCACAAAAGATTATTAAAGCTACTTGTATTGAAAACAAAAAGTTTAAAGTACAAGGAAAATCCTATTCGTTTCAATCATTTACTTGCAAGAAGAGTCAAAAAAGTTCTGTCAAAAGAGAAGGACCTTGTCTTGATAAATACTCAAAAATTGCAGTCGGATTTCGTGTACTTGACAAATTTATTTCCAATTTTGAAATTTGCCGAGATGACAACACTGACGAAACATATTATGTAAAAGAGGAAATGACAGCCAGTGTTGGTGGTCATCAATCGCATAATCCAAGACCCACTTGGACAGATCATCATCTTTTCAAGGGAGACATAGATGTTTACTACAAGCAAAAACATCAGAAAACAGTTTTATCACAAATACTCCAATCGGATGAGCTGGCTGGACAATATTTAAAGAAAGCTCAATTACAAAGAGGTCATTTAGCGGCAAGATCCGATTTTGTTTACGGAACACAACAAAATGCAACATTCACTTATGTCAATGCAGCACCGCAATGGTCTTCATTCAACACTGGCAATTGGAAGTACATTGAAAATGCAGTTCGCAATTTTGTAGAAGCCAATGATTTGGAGGTGACAATTTATACCGGTGTTCATGGACAAATGACACTTAGAGATGACAATAATAATGAACAAGAAATATTCCTAGATGTTGACGAGAACAATAATAATTACATAAGAGTTCCGAAATTTTTCTGGAAAATTGTCTACGATCCAGTTAATTATTTAGCACTTACTTTAATTGGCGTTAATGATCCGTTCATTGAAAAAATCACTAAAGATACGATTCTCTGCAAAAATATCGCAGACAGTCCAAATTACGATTGGTTGACAGCAACGTGGAAAAAGATGACACAAATTTCCCAAGGATATTCGTATATATGCGATTATAATGAATTAAAGAAAGTTGTGCATACCGTACCGAAACTAAAAGTCAAGGGTAGTTTAAAAAGTACAAATTCAGTACAAATTTTACTGGAAGACAGCGATGTAAAAGAAGACTAGTATATATCACTCCGAAAAATTCAGTAATTTATGAAAGTATTTTTATTAAAAAATATTTCGTTCATTTAAACACTAAAAATTTATCGATCATAATATATAAATAAGATTTGTATGAAAATATGCATATAAAAGACCTTGTAATTTGTAAGAAAATAAAAAAATCTTTTATAGTAGTGAAAAATGGCTTTTAAATTGTGTATGCGTGGTTTAGAAAAGATTTTTAAATCAGCGAGACCATAGAATTAAACGGAAATTAATTATTCAGGACACATTTAAACGTTTATTTTCCATCTACGATTGCACGACTTTAAAATTCTTATCAGCATCAGAATGCAAAACCATTAAAACATTAGAAACAACAGCACTCACACCAATTTCCACGAAACTTGATTCAAATTAAGTTTTCTTAATTTCTGTTATAATGGAAAAATAACTAATTCCTAATGGTTTTTGCTATAATGAAGAAACTTTTGTGCTCATTGAATATGATATTTTTATACAAAAGTATCTTATCTTCTCTAGATTCTGGTAAATATTCTTAACGTTACTAATATATTTGATGATTGTTTATGATCATTTTTATTATTATTATTACTATTTATTTAAACTTTTAGGATTTATTCCTTATATTCCTAATTAAAGAATTTTACTATTTAATTCTATAATCTTAATTTTATAATCCTAAATTCTTCTGTTCCTCCAAAAATTATGATTTAAAACTTTTTATAATTTTTACATTATTTGACGATGAGTTTTAGCTTTAAAAAATTATAACCGGTTCTTTGATCGTGACTGTCAAGTATTGTAGAATATCCTACTCTTAATTGATTCTAATCTTTTTAATTAATTGCACATTTTAAGTCATCAAAACAAAATTCAAGAAAAATTTCTTTGAAACTTCCAAAATTTTATTTAGTTAAATCATACAAATAAATGCTCTCGGCTATGTTACAGTCAACCAAATATTTGTTTGGTTCAACCAAAAATTTTTCGTCAAACGAATAATTTATTAAACAGAAGAAAAATTTATTCAAATTAAATATTTATTTCAATTAAACAAATATTTATAAAAAAAACTGTTCTCGACTTTTTGCAAGAGGATGAAAAAAATTAAAAAAGAAACATTAACTGTTTTAATAATACGACGTTATATTTATTTATATCGAACAAATATTTGTTAAAATCAAGTAAATATTTATTTAAATCAAATAAAAATTTAGTGGAATTTAAATTTTAATAAAATTTATATTTATTAAAATTTTTTTAATAATAATAATCTATCACTTGAGTTTATATATATATATATATATGTTACCGGCAAAGTATGTAATCAGGCATTTTATAAAATACCTAGGCAGTATATAAAATGCCTGTCTGTCTCAGGCAATGTGTATAAAAAAAAGATTTTCTATACATTGCCTAGGCATTATATAAAATGCCCACTAGACTTTAGGCAAAGTATAAAATTTAGTTTTATTTCAAATAATATACATTTTTCTGTTATAAAAATATTAACTTTCTTTTGTAATTTATTTGTTACAACACGGCATACTTGAATGACATTTCGACTGACACTGGACCTTATTTTTTATGCATAAATATTTGTTGCTTTGACAGTTTTTTACAAGAACATTTTACAAAACCTTGGCCTGTTCCTTTTTCTCGGTAGCTTTAACATTATTAACATCACTTATCAACTGCTTATACCGTTCGTCTGATAAAAATATACTGTTTTTTGCCATTGCATTTTTAATTTTAGAAAATTCGGAAAAAATCTATCCCTTGTCACTGAAACATTTCCTATTTCTGCACTCATTTTAAGTTCAAATTTATGTTTCTGCGACTGATTACCTCAAAATGTGAGAATTGACTGACAAAATTTGTATTTTCTGTTAATTAAGTATTATTCTTAAGAGTTAGAAATATTGAACTTCATTGTATAAAATTACTCACTGCTAACATGCAGCTATGTAAACATAGCTAAAATACTTATTGTTATATACTTATTATTTTCTATTTGTAATAGAAAAATCGTGGAAAGTGTTTATAGAAAAAGGTAGACGTTTCAAGCTGCTGAGACTATTATATACTTTACCTTATGCTCGATGGGCATTTTATAAAATACCTAGGAATTTTATAAAATGCCTAGGCAATATATGAAAAAATAATTTAATTATATACATTGCCTGAAATGGACAGGCTTTTTATATACTGCCTAGGCATTTTATAAAATGCCTGGATTTCATACTTTGCCGGTAACATATATATAAAAAATAGAATATTTAATTCAAACCTAATTTTTCCCCAAGTGTGTAAACAACATTTCAATAAATTAGAAAATGATTTAAATCATTGCAGCCCTATTTTGGGGTCACTGAATCTATGAATATTTGAGTTATTTCCATGTATCACCCCTAAAATAATTTTTTGGAGAGAAAAATAAAACCACGTTTTGAAAATTTTAAAAATAACTATTTATCAAAAAAGCAAAAAATCAATAAATAAGTATACCGAGTAAACAGTTTTAGCTAGAAGAATGATTTATTTATTGCAAATAAAAATATATAGAAAAATTTTATATTTTGATTTTTTTCTTTCAGCTTAGACAAAAAACTAAATTTTTATTCGATTTTTTTATTGGTAAGTATAAAAAAAAATAAATGATAAATTCTTTATTATAAATTATAAATTTAAACAATAAATGAACCTGAAACTCGCACCCAGTTAATTTTCGAAATTAAGTTAAATATTTTTTTGTTTAAAACCAACATAAAATTTAAAAAAATTAAGTGAGTGCTGATAAATGGGTAAAAGTTTCAGCTTGGTACAAAATATTTAACTTTAAAATTTAATTTACGAAATTAAATCAGTACTGATAACTTGGTGTCAATTTCAGCTTCATATCAATAACTCATTTTACTCATTGAAATATTCTCTACAATCGTAAACATTTTAATATTGTTAAAAATATTTTCCTACAAAATTACAATAAACAATACAAATTCTATTAATTAAATAATTTTTAAACAAAATATTTTTCATAACATTAAAATAATTACAGTTCCCAATTAATGTTCTTTACGTTAAAATGATCAAAAGTTAATTATCTCTTCTTCAAATTAAAATTTTATTTTAATAATATTACAGCATTTATACAAAAATTAAATTATAAACTTTTAAAATATTCAATTTACTTTTTTATAATTTTTATTCTAATAAATAATTTTTAAAAATATTTATTAACGAAAAAATATTTCTCTCATTTGAACATTCAAAACATGTGGATCATAATAATTATGTTCGTGGAGAATATTGCAATGAAAAAATAAGCAATTATTGAAATAATAAAATAAAATATAAAAACCAATTTAAAAATTTTTTAAAAATTTTATTTCATTTTTTGTCTGAGAGAAAAAAATTAAAGTGTTATAAAATCATTAGTAGACAAAAGATTTAACTGAACGTAATTTTTTCTAAATAATTTATAACAAAGATCTTTCGAAATTATTTGAAATTAATTTCTATTATATTTTTGCTAGTATCAAAAATTATTTTTCATTTTTTAATTTAGCAATATTATTTTAACAACAAAATTGATTAAAATAATCTGCAAATTTTTAATCCATCACGAATTAAAATTTAGTTAAAAATTTTTTAATTCATATCGTAGAATTATTTTTTCAAAATAGTTGCAAACGAATTGGTTTTATTGTAGAGACAAATTTTTATAATGGAAAAAATTAATCCAAAAGTGGATTATTTTAATCTTTTTTAGTGTCAATTTAAGCTACAACGCTTTTTAGTACCTCATAAAGTTCCTAAAGTTTTTGAACGTTCAAATGGGCAAAAATATTTTTTCCCTTCTTTCAATTTGTTTTTTTTATAAATAAAATATTTATATATTTATAAAAAAAATTATTTCTTGAATAACTATATGACTAATTTTAATTATTTTACCTTTTTGTATAGTAATTTAAAAAAAAATATTTAAGCAAAAAAATAATTAAGGTTCATTTAAACGATCGAAACTTAAGAAAAATAACCTCATAATTTACTGTGAATCCAAAATTCTGATAAATTCATGTCCCTAAAGTTTTTAACATTAAAATTAACGAAATTTATTTGCTATTTAAATATTTTCAAAAATCCTACTAAATTGTAAAATAAATATTTATTTAGTTATTTGATAAATGAATTTTTAGGTTAGTTTTCTATTTAGTTCTAACAATTAATTTTTTTGGAAAAATAATTTTTACAAAAATAATACATATTGCGTTTTATAATAAAATATAAATGAAAAGAAGTAAAATAAATATCGTCGTTCATTTAAATGTTCGAAACTTTAGGAACGTAAATTCACATATTTAAATTTCAACATTTAAATTCACTCTTTCAATAAAAATTATTTGAAAAAAGAAAATTAAATACCAGTAACAGTTGAAAATGTAAATTAAATATTTTAAAAGTTTATATAGTATTTAATCGTTTTAAAACTCTTTGTTTCTCAATTCCTCTATTTTTCACAACCGTTAATTCCAAAACTACTCTTTTCACACGAAATAAATGGAAGAAATAAATTTATTTCAAATTACAGAAAGAGGTTGCCAAATAACAATAGATTATAAAACAGGAGATCTAAAAGAACCGCAACCACTAATTTTAAACAATTCTTTCCAATCTATTTATCCAGACGAAAGCGGTGCATTGAAATTCCAAACTGAACAATCAATTCTTCTAGTCTGTCCGGGCAATAATAATGGATTAAATTCAACTTCAATGCTAAAAAATATCCAAAAAGTCAAATGCAAAAGAAAAAATTTATTTTCCATAAGAAAGAAAATTTATTCATTTAATTCTTTTGTTTGTAAAAAACCGTACAAAACTATTGCCAAAATTAATAGTAATGACGAGACGTGTCACAATTATAATTTATCAAAAATCAATATTGGCTTTCAAGTTGAAAAAAAGTTTATATCAATACTGGAAATTTGTCGTGATAACAGAACTCATGAAACATATTATGTGAAAGCGGAAATGAGGAAAAGTATCGGTTGGTATCAAACTAACAGTCCCAGACCTAGTTGGTTGAGTCACAATCTCTTTCCAGGTCACAATATAAATTCCCTCTACACGAGGAAAAATCAAATGGAAATTTTAACAATTATTCTCAAATCGAAAAAATTAGCTTACAATTATTTAAACAAATATCATTTACAACGTGGACATTTGGCTGCGAAATCTGATTTTGTTTATTCAATTGAACAAAATTCCACATTCACATTAGCGAACGCTGCGCCACAATGGTCATCATTTAATTCTGGTAATTGGAAATATATTGAAACTGCAATTCGAAAATTTGTCATTAGTAATAATTTGAGTGTGTACATTTACACTGGTGTTCATGGACAAATGACACTTTGTGATAAAAATCGCAATAAACAGCCAATATACTTGAGTGTTGATCGAAATAATAATAATAAATATTTTCGAGTACCGAAATATTTTTGGAAAATAGTTTACGATCCAATTTTTTATCTGGCATTCATAATTATTGGAGTGAACGATCCATTTAGTAGGAGAATTACAAACGATTTGTTCCTCTGTGATGATATTGCCGAGAGATCAATTTTCAATTGGTTGACAGATTCGTGGAAAAATCGAATGAAAATTACTTTTGGTGTTTCTTACGTTTGCGATTATAGGGAAGTGAAAAGTGTCGTTCATTCTTTACCAGATTTGAAGGTAGAAGGAATTTTATAGAATTTAATGATGAAGTAGAATTATTTGAACATTTTCATTGGAACCAAGGAGTTCGGGGAAATGGTGGCCTGATCGCTCGTCTTATAAACATTTGGGGCTTATCAACTTTTGGTAGACAAAACATAGCCTACGATGAACAAAGACGAGCTGGTGGACGAGGCGACAATGAGCTGTTCTGGGGACAGTCCTTATTCGGCTACGAATGAGAGCAGACTAATGAATATTAATCGAATGCCAATTATTCTAAAAGATATCAAAAGATATTAATTATAACTATACTTATTGTCATTTTCACATATAATTAAATAAAATAACATTTATAGGAATATCTCTTTTATTATAAATAATATTCCTACAATGAGCTTGTTAAAATTCCCGTCAAAAGACATCAAAAATATAATATTTAATCACAATGATATTCAATCACCTATACAACTTTGTATAATATTATTATTATGATATTAAAGATCAAAGGGTATTTCCCTTGTCAGCTATGTTAGCAAAATTGTCAAGATCTTATTTCATAATAAACGTAATAAAAATAATGAATTAATTATTAGTAAAAGATAAATGCCCATTTCGCTCAAAGGAATATTTTTAGAAAAGAATCCAATTAAGAAGAAAAACACATTTTTAAAATCAATTTTGCAATAATAGTAATAATTCACTTTGTAAAATGTCATTTCAAACTTCTACCATCACGAATAGAATTTTTCCTGATTTAAATAATAAATTCAAAAGTCGAAACTATGACCGTCAAAATAAAATATATTCACTGCATTCTAAAATATGTCAAAGTGCCCCTTTGCATTATTAATTCAATAAAAAAAAATTCCATTTTTGAATTATCTACAAATATTTCAGGATTGACACAAAAATTTAATTTTGTTTTTCCCTGATTTCCAGACAAAAATTTAACTTTTTCTGTGAACCCAAAAAATATTTTGATTCACTCTAAAAATTATTAGATACTCAAAAAAATGTTCTATTACATTTTTATTTTTAAATAAATATTTTATCATTATTATTTTTCTATAGGAATTAAGATTTTCAAAAATTTCAAATCATTAGGTACTTTATATTTATAAGAATATTGTTACTGCACTTCTTCAAAATTATTTTCATCATTTCAATTCAATTATTATTTTTAACAATTTTTAACTAAAACTCTTCTTTAAATCAATTATTTTTAAAAAATTTTGAAAAAGCTCTTTGAGAATTTTCAAATCCATTTGAAACTTTTTCAAAAAAAATTAATTTATAAAAAAAATTTGTAAATAATTGAATTTCTGTGAAATTTTTATTATTTATGAAAATAATTAATTGTTTGCGTAGAATTTTGTTAAAAAATTTTTAAAATAATTTAATTCTTTTAAAAAACTTTATTTAAAGAGTAGATATTGGAAATCATTAAATTGAGGAAGTTTTTTGAAAATAATTGAAATTTTGCCAAGAATTTTATTGAAATTTTTTAACATAATTGAATTTCTGCTGAGAATTTTATTACTTTTGAAAATAATTAAATTTCTGCTATCATTTTCCAAAATCCAATTTTTTTAGTGTTTTTAACTAAAATTCTTCTATAAATCCATTATTTTTAATAATTAGTTAAATAAATATTAGAAAATTCAACTAATTTCAGAAGAATTTTAATTTTTTAAATTTTTTCTAAAAACTAAGTTCTTTAAAATCTCTAATTAAATTCATTGAAAATTGAAATTTTGTAAAATTTCAAATTGAAACCTTTTGAAGTTCATCTATTTATGAAAACTGTAAACGCAACTCTTTAAAAATAAATAAAAAATAATTTTATTAAAAATAAAATAATAATAAAAATAATTTTATGATAGTTCTTCAAGAATTAAATTATTTAAAATAAATTATTGTCAGAAATAGAAAAATGTATGTTAGAAATGATATTAGAATATATTATTAATAATATATTATTATTATTAATTAATATTATTATTAAATTGATATTAGAAATTAGAAAAAATTGAAGGTTTTGTATTAAAATTCGTGGTAATAGCATAGTTTATGAGGCAAACAAAAAGACACAAAAATTTCTTTTGACGAATTTCAATAAAAATACAATAAAAAAATAATAAAAATTCTAAAAATTTAATTTGTTCCAATACTTTTAATAATAATCCTTGATTTTTCCCTGATTTCCCTTTCCAATTCTACATTCCCTGAATTCCCTGACCTGTGGCAACCCTTTTTTGTAGAAAATTCTTTTTTTTTTATTGAATTAATAATTTATTAATTCAATAAAAAAAGAATTTTCTACAATTATTTATTTTTTGAATGAAAAATAATCCATTTTAAAAATAAATTAAAAAGACCAGCGAGGTAATTATCAATAAAACAAATAATTAAAAGTGCAACTTATATGAATTTCGCAATATATGCACATTAAACTTTTCCGCACACAAAATACTGAAATATTATCAAAGTAACGTATAATGAATAGAAGGCTCTATACAAAATTCGTTGAACTAAATTTTAAAAGCACCTACCCTTTTCATTACTCTTTTTCTAAAATGTGAAAAGTTAAATGAGATCAAGTCTTTATGAAGCAAAGCTCTTTTTTTAATTCTAATTTTCGAGTGAGAAATTTGAAATATTGAAACAATTTACAAATTCTAAAAGTTCTAAATAATATAATGATGGGAAAATATTGCAAAAATATTCACCAATAAACTGTTCAATATATATTATTATGAATAATAACTGAAAAAGAAATTCTGACAAATGAGAAAAATGTCAAAACAACAAACGCAGTAACCTAACCTATAAACGAGAAAAATGAATTCGGAGCTAGAAAACAATATCGATTCCTACTGTGAACCTAATTTTTTTTTGTCAATATGAAAAAAGCAATAACAGAATTATCGAATTTAATGTTCTTTTAACATGAAAAATGTGTCAAATGTGACAGAGACTTAATCTACCATACACACAATCAAAGAAGCATGTAATAATCTAATTACCATAATCATAATTTATTTGTAAACAAATACTGGAAAAATAAACATCTACAAATTGACTGCTGTCATCCGCACATGCTCCATTTGGCCTGAAGGCGTATTTTTAGGTTACGCTACTGCCATTACGCCCCTGTTATTATTATAGTAATAAAACTCTCGTAATATCGAAAAAGATTCATCAAATGTACTCACTTGCCAATTATCTCGCAGAGTTCATAAACATCATCAAACAAAACCTCGTCTTCTGCCATTGTGACAATAATGTTGATAAAAACAAACTAGAATTTCTCTCTCTGATAAAAGATGAGATAAGTTTCCAATGACGTCGTCACGTTGACGTGACGACAGTCTCCAGCAGCAAGTTCACGGCGCCTCGCCCCTCCGAAATAGTATCTCCCGCTCCACGCACGAGTCCACTGACAATTACGCACTGTACACTGATTGTCGCACTATTCTCTAAAGAGAGATTAAAAATGTTCTATTATTACATAGAATGTTTAATAATAAACAGAAAATGTTGATTTGTGATGACATATAGGTTTCATGTCAATCGAACGCCATCGGCTGCTCCCGGGCTAGCCACCGGTGAGCATAAATGAAATGAAAGATGAATTACTATATCACGAACACAACTTCTAAATAACTATAAGAGATAATAATAAATTCGGTTTTTATGTATATCAAGATTATTTGGGCCCAGAATTGGCCCCCAGTCTTGATAACCGATACGAGCGCAGATTAAATAGAAATTGCACTGGGCAAGGCCGGGGAGCAGAGCCGCTCGCTCCAATGTAAAACTGGTTGCATAAAATGCGGCGAGCAACTGCGCCGTCTTCTTATGCGCATGTTTTCATGGTGGGGCGGGCGTGGTTGGCAGTATTTATTTTTATTTTGTATTTTTTTTATACTTTTTCTTTAATGTTTCATTATTGTATTTTAAATGCAGTTAATCATTTATCTTCTCAACGTAAAAAGATAAAAAGTAAAAGTATTTCCTGTTATCACAATAAACTACAATTGGAAATTGATTTTAAAATATCACAAAAGTTACAGTTGCCTTTAACGCGCTTAAAGAAGATTTCTATTTTACCGGCACAATTTGAAATAAACATTTAAAATAATAAATAATGTTTATTTACATTAAAAATTATTTACCTTAGGTAGACAAAATTGTTTATAATTGCCTATAAAACTATTTTAGAAGAAATATTATTTTTATCAATACGAAATGTTTTTATCGACATTTTTATTATCTTGTGTTGGTAGTTCTACTTTAAATATTGCCGGCAAAATTTTCAAATATAAATGTAATTTTAGTATATTTAAAATCATTAATTATTTTAATTAAGTAAAATAATTATTTAATTAAATTAAATAAACAAACACTGTTAAATTAATTTATAATTAAAATAGTTATTTAAATAATAAATTTCAGTAGTAAAAATCAAAAGTAATTCCTATTTAATTATTAAGTAAATTATGTAAATTAAATTATTAATTTAATAATTAAGTAAATCAAACTTATCAAATACTGATAAACTTACTTGTAATTAGAATATTTTCATTTCTATCAGTTACTTGCTTAGTAAATTAAATCTAATTTTCAATATAATTTGTTTACTGTCAATGAATATTTTAACTAATTATATATCCATTTTCGAAGGCAAAACCGTTAAAAATAAACATTTTTAATTTAAATTTCAAAAACTTTTATTTAAATAAATATTTAGTTTCAAAATTAAATTTTTAGCTTGAATGCTGAATATTTAAATTACTGAAATAATAAAATTGTAATTTCAAATTATGTAAACTAAAATTTAAGAAGTAAAATTCAACATGCGCAGGGTTATAATGCAAATGTAAAGTAGTAAAAAAAACATAAATATTAGATCATAAAAAGATTTTGAAGAGATATAGATGTCAATAGCAGCAATAAACATCGCACATTCAGTTTATTGGTTTTTACGAGTTACAGTCGACAGGGAAAATACATTCCTATGTAAACTATTGTACAGAGTAGATAATGTAATCGACACTCAAAAAGATTCACTTCATTAATTAAAAAAAATCTACATATTTAAAAATGAAATTAAAAAAAATTTATTGTATGTTCTGTTCAAATTATTCAATTACACTATCAAATAATAATAAAAAAAAAACAAACAAAAAAACAAACAAACAAACAAAACAATAATATTATAATAATAACAAATTTAAAGAATTATTTCATTATTATATTATTCTTGCATATAATTTTTTATTTTTATTGAGAGAAAAATGTAACAGAAAATGAAAATAAAATAAGTTAGTTTAATTCCTTACATTTTTTATATTATTTAAATTAAAAAAACCATTTAAAATTTAAATGCATTTTGGTAATTAATTAGTTTATTATTAATAAAATAAATAAATTAATTAATAAATTCTAATAAATTAATTTACTAGTGTAAAGCAATTTATCAGAATTTATTTATTTACTTTATTTTATTTATTATTAATTTCTACAGTTTTTCATTTTAAATTTAAAAACTTTCACTAAACAGCATTTAAAATTCAATTATTGTTTTATAAACTTAAAAATACACTGAAGAAAAATTTATTTGATTTAAATAATCAATTTTACGTGTCTATTATCAAATAAATATTTACTTGAATCAAATAATTTTTATTTAAATCAAGTAAATTACATTTACTTCAAACATTGAAATTATTGATTCAAGTACAATATTTTATTGACCTAAATAAAAATTATTTGATTCAAGTAAATATTTATTTGATTATAGGCAATTAATCGGTTATTTAAAGCAAATAAATATTTTTTGTATGAAGTTAGACTAACTTTTGTTCTAAATAACAAAACAATAATAGTAATAGTCATTATAAAAATAATAATAATAGTAATAATAATAATAATATTAATTATAATAATATTTTATTCATATTATTGTTCTTTCCATTATTTTTCACATTCTCGCATCACACGAGAAAGAATTTATTTAATATTAAAACTATATTGGAATTTTATTATTATAATTATTATTGTTGTATTTTTAAAATAATGAAAAATATCAGTGTAATAATTACAATTATATATAATAATGTTCACTCTATTTTATAAATTTCGTTTCATAATGCGGCACATATTATTTATACAAAGCCTTCATTAGTCACACATATTTCAAATGTAAATTAATATTTATATTCATATAAAACAACAGACATATCATTTTTCTCTAATTAACAATCATAAAATCATCGTATCATATGTATAATACTGAAACACGTTTATAATCGACCATATTGATGGACAATGTAATTTTCTTTTTAATTTCCATTTGAACAATACTTTTTTCTTTAAGTCACACACATGCACTTACAATTTTTACAAAACATATAGATATACATGAAATTCATTTCACATTTTTTATTCTTTATTGTTGAATAGAATTTTTGTTTTTTTATTCTCCGATAAAAATTCCATTAATTTAAAATTAATTGGACCAATTGAATAATTAATTGAATTAAAATTAATAATAATAACCAATTAAATAATTAATTAGTAATATTTAAATAAAAAAATTAATTATTACTTCAATCAGCAGTTAATTAGTATTTAAAAAAATAATTAATTATTATTTCGAGTAATAGTTAATTAGTATGAAAAAAAATAAATTATTTTTAAAACTGATAATTAATTATTAATAAAGTTAATAATTAATGATTGTTATTATTATTACTTTAATTAATGATAATTAGTCTGACTAATTTCAATTAAAATGTATTTAAAATGAATTCATCATTTACAAATAGAATAAACATTCCTTTTAAAATTTTGCTTCTGTAATTACAAAAACAATAAATTAACACATTCATTTTAATAAACACTTGCAGAAATCACACACCATTGATATAACAAATAATCATCTCGTTTAAATTTGCAACATTTAATTTTATAACTCGTATGAAATTGCGAAATTATATAATATGTTTGTTTATTTGTATACTTTTAATGACATTTTCGTGTACAAAAAAAAGTTCACTTCTATAATAGTTACTATTATAGTAGCATTCTAAATTTTCTCTATATTTATATTTATATATATATATAGTATTTGGAATTTCTTCCAGTCAAGTCTTATTTCGAGTTTCACGCACAGTCGTTTTATAAAATGGTAAGAAATACGTGCGTCAGAGATTTCTATTTAAAGCAGTGAAATTATGATCAAATTTTTTAAATAAACTAAGTAGTAGGGAAATAAGATTTTTCTTTAAAGTTTATTACTTTTCACATTCACAATATCGAGAATGTATAAAATAATTTTTCTAATTCTTTAATAAACAAATTTTAACTTCATACTAAATTTTTTCTTCTTAATTAAATTATTAATTTAAATTTAAGTTTTCTACTATTGAAATTTAATTTCGGTATTGTTTTTATTTGTTAGTACAATTTTTTTAAAAAGTTTTTTTTATTAATTTATTTATTGGATTTTGTTTGTTTTCTTATTTGATTTTTTTAAACATTTTCTGTTTATTTGTCTTTTTTGTATGAGTTTTTTGTTTATTTGATTTTTTTGTATAACTTTTTTTTAATTATTTGACTATTTTCGTAAGATTTTTTTGTCTATTTATTTAATTTCATTTTTTTACTGTTCTGATGGAAAAAAATTTGATCATAATAACAGTCATTGCTTTTGCATAGCCAGCAAATAATGTTATTTTGCACGTAAATATACATAGCTACAAATAATCTACTTCACTTAATTATTATTTACACTTGAAGCATTATTCATTATATTCTATGGTATAAAAAGTTTTCTAATATAAAATGACTGATTGGTTGATTGTACAGGACGTAGTATAATAATTAGTTCCTAAGCGAAACTTTTCGTAAATGCTTTTTACATTCTCCCGTCACTTGTGAGAAAGTATTTATTTTCATTTAATTTATTTCGATGATAGATTTTCTCGTAATGAATAATTCTTGTATGAAGTAAAATTATTATTGTAAAATTGTGAAATTAATACTTTGAAAAAGCCAAAAATATTTCTAGTAATTCTATTATGATTTTTTTGAGCTTACATATAATTAACAATAAATAATTTAGCTATATAGAAACTGAAAAACTGCATACTTGGAATTTTTATATTAAAATTTTCATGAATAAAAAATTTAGTTTATTGTTTATTACCGAAAGGAAAATTAAAAATTATTAATTTTTAATTTACTTTAATAGATTATGTAAATCAACTTTAATTTTCGAATTGAAAATTAAATTATACTAATTGACAAATTTTGAAAATTAACTGACTAAATCAAATAAAAACTTCAAATAATTGTTTTGTAAAAAAATTTAAGTCTGACAAATTTAAATTTTAAAAATTTTTGTTTAAACGTAGTTAAATTTTTTAGAAAATAGATTTTTAAAAATTCCATTTCTTATTTTTCGAATAGGTCAGCAGTTTACAATTCGTTGCTTTGAATTTCAATTAATATTTTCAGTTTTTTCTAATTATATAATGAACTATTAATTTTTAAATTTCAATCAAAATTCTAGTTTCTAGAATTTACTACCTTTTCATGCTTGCTTACATAATTTTATGGTACAAAAAAAAATTAGGTGACACAGTATAAAATTTTTCCAAAATTCAAAAAATTAATAGGCCTTAAATTTTTCGATAATTACATTTTTCTTACATTGAAAAAAAATTCTTGGTAAATTTAATATTTAATCACCTAATTTTTCTTTTTAATTTGAAAAATCAAGTATATTATGAAACATTTTTGATTCAGAGATTTTATGAAACTAGAATATTCGCAAAAGAATTCATATTATATTTACATACTAAAACCGAATATATTCTCTATAATATATAATACTATGTAAATATGATTTATACAATTTAAAAATTCACTAAAAAGAAAAAATCGATTGCAAATAGAAAAAACTTAATTTACATCTCTATAATTGCACTGTTCAATCGAAACTCAAGTCAAGAAACTTTAGAAAATGCAGTAGATTATTCTTGAGAAGAATATTTTAAAAAGATATGTTTATGACTTGAGCTTTCGAGGCATCAACAAAATGCAATAATTTCTTTTTTATAGTCTTGAAAACTTCATCGCGAGAAGCGATGAGAAATATTTTTTTTTCTTGTTGAATCTAGTAGAAAAATTATTTATGTTCCCTGGTTTGAGCGTGCAGTCTTTAACACCATGATATCTGCGTTTTTTTTTTTTGACAGAGGATGAAAATTCCGGTACTTATTTTAGGCCCTTGTGTCAAAACATATACTGATTTATTTTTCTTTCTTTCTTTTTTCTTTCCTTCATCACTGAGAGCTTATACAGTCAGTAAACTTTCACTAAAATAATGAACCGAGAGTAAGAAGCTTAGTTACACTAGTTTAAAATTTTTTATTTTTCTTAAAATTTATTTTCTATAATTGTTGAAAAAATTGACCTATGTAGTGTTTTTAAAGTTACCAATTAAAGAGAGGGACTAATGAAATTTTAATTCGACAAAATTTACATTGATAACAGACAATTTTTTACCAAAGTTATTTAAAAATTAAAGATATTACATAAATTATTAAAATTTAAAATAAAACTTATTTTTGACAATTTTACCATTTTCATTTATTCAAAAAGCAAGGATTTTTAAAAATAAAAATAAAAATTAAAAAAAAATTTCGTAGTAAAAATAGCTACTTTTTTAGATTTATATAGCGAGACATATATATTTAATTTATTTTATAATTTTAAAAACATTTTTCTATCTAAAATTTTTTGAAAATTTATTTTTCAGTTAATTTTTCTTTTAATAATAGACAAAATGAAGACAGAATGGAAATTTCTTTCAATATTAATAAATTCAAATCTTGAAAATTTTACTCCGTTTGTAAAAAGAATTTCTTGAAATTACTCTTAGGAATTGTTCTTAAAGAAATTTTAAAATTTACTTAGTTTAAAATGTTTATAAGATGAAAATTTTGATAATTTAAACTTTGGAACAATTGAAACTCAAATCAATTGAAATTCAGATAGGAACCAAAAACTTCATTCCATTGAAATTCTAATTAATTACAAAACTTAGATCAATTGAAACTCAAATTCGTTAAAATTTTCACTATGAATAAGAAAAAAATTATACTTGTTAAGATTTTTAATTAAGAATAAGAAGAAATGAAAATGTAATTGATAGAAATATTTAAATCGAGTTGACCAACAAAAATTGTTACTGTTTAAAATTTACATAATTAATTGATAAATTTAATTAATTAGAAAATCTAATTAATAATAAAGGCTACCTAATTAGAAAATCTAATTAATTATAATTAGAACGTCTAATTAATTAAAGACAAGATATTCTAATTAAAATAAAATTTATGTACTTTTCGAACATGAAAAAATTGAATACATATTCCATTAGATTTATTTCAATTGATTAAAATTTTCAATAAATAAGAAAAAATTTAACTTTAAATTCGATATTTTATAAATGAATTTAAATTTTCATAATTTTATATTTCAATCCATTGAATTTTTCTTTGAGCAAATTATTAGAATTATAAAATAAAAAATAAATAGAGAAATAATGAAAAATGAATAAAAATTTTTGATTAAAATAATAAGAAATAAAAAATCTATTTGATAAAAATAGTTCAATCAAGATGATTACTTTACTTCAATTAATATTTATACATAATTAAAATTATTATAAAAATATAATTTTTATAAATTTAAAGCATATAAATAATTAATATCACATAAAAAAAATTCGAAAGCAATTAAAATTTTAAGCAATAAATGTTTTACGCAATAAAAATTGTTATTGATATATAATAATAATAATAATTAGAAGGGCTATTTAATTAAAATGGCTAATCAAGTAAAATATTTAATTAATTAAAAAATCTTATTAATTAGAAAGGATTTGGGAATCTTCAATTAAGATTTCCAATTAATTAGAAAATCTTATTAATTCCAAAGGCTAATTAATTAAGACTTCAAATTAATTAGAAAGTCTTATCAATTAGAAATTATAATTATAATAAAAATAAAATTATGATGTTTTAAAATTTGTATAAATTGAATGTAAATTTTATTCGATTGAAATTAGTTCCCTCCCCTTGGATTCAAAAATTCTACTTAAAGTACGTAATTATCAATAATCTTAGAAAATAAAAAAAAACATAGAAACCTTTTACTCTCGACTTATCATTAATCACTATAAATCGGAATTCATTCAACAGCGTATTAAAAAGATTAATTTCTTCGCGACTGTCTTTAACGCAGCCAAGAGCGCAGATAAATTCATCACACTTAATAAAAAAAAAAACGAACAATCACACATATATAAGCGGCCTCACAAATGGCTCCACAGAATCGCAGAAAGGCTTCGAAAAGTCTTACTTCATTAGGCACATTGAGTTCGTAGTAGCGATCAGATAATCTTGACGTAGGTCAGTCTTTTGAAAAAAGTTGATAATTATTCTTTTTTCCTCTTTTATACAATTTTTTTTTCAGTTCGTTTTTCGTCCCGTATGGACGTAAGACTTCTGCTAGACCCAATATTGATTTCTTCTGAGAAGAGGATTCGGTCTCTGCGATGTTGCCGATTGACAGGGAAGCTCCGATGTGTCGAAACTACTCCACTCGTCACCGTCGGCAACTCCATAAGGATACCTCGCCGAGACGTCGACCTCGGAGCCCGTTATACTCTCCAATGGACTCAAAGGAATGACCTTGCATTGTGGTAAAGTTGACGTCATTGTTGGAAGTGACGGTAGAGGCGTACTCGAGGATAGACTATTGTGATCGTTGGCGAATCTCTTGAGATGAGGCGTTGTAGGCATCAAGTGATCAGGAGGTCTCGGTAAAGGCATCACACCAACTGTAGGCGCTGTTTCCGGTTTGTCATCCTCTTCCGCGTACTTGTATTGATTTTGTCTGTATCGAATCGTTATTATCACCACGACACTCAGAACAAAGACACCAATCAACATTCCCAGAATGAGTAAATAATCATTGCTCATATTCGGAGCAATTGCCATCTCACCCTCATGACCCACAGGATCCATTGGACCACCCATGGTCATATTATGATCGTCCAAATCCAATTTCAATAGAAAGGGAAATTCACCTTCCGCTGGTTGGAAAATTGAGGCTACCAAAATAAAACAAAAATTATCTGGTACACCTTCGGAATTCATGGTTGATATTTTGTTGCCCACAAGATAAATCACTCCGGAGACAATTTCCTGATGAGTGAATCTAGTCACATCTTTTTCTCGCGTACCACGCTTCTCACCAGTCGATGATAAACTTCTGATGATTCGCTTGATTCTGGCGAATTTCGGTTTTCGCGTCACTGTGTAAATTGGATTGCTGTTCGTCAATGTGGCGAGGGGAGTTGCGTCCAAATATTGAAGAGTCAGTTTCTTCTTATCGCCAGCGAGTATCACGAGAGGATTAATGATCATTAGTGGATCGACTTTAATGTCGACGTGAATGTTCTTCACTTCAAAGTCACCAAGTTGGGCCGACAATTCGAGACTGTCGTTCGATACTGTCATGTCTGATTGCATGTATATAACAATCTTGGAAGCGAGATCGAGTTGTTTAAAAGTCACTGCAAGTAAATTACGTACGTAGAGTACACCGTGTTTTGGCGATCTTGTCACTTTATAAATGACAAGATCTTGTCTTGCATTCGAGTCAAGTCTCACGTTATGTTCTGAGATCATGGCGACTTTTTGACCCTGAGGCAACAAAACTGGTGACGGAACGGTGACGTTCAATTTTATCGGAACTACGTGAATATTAAAGATTTTATATACATGATTAAAATGTCCATCCCAAACTCTAAAGTAAAAGGAAACAGCTTGCAATGGACCACTGTGTTCATAGACAACCCTCGAGGAATCGATATCAAATTGCGAGAATTTATTCGCTATGTGCACTTCCGTTGAATTCTGATCAAAGGGCAACAATAGTAATCTTCCCTGTGTTGGCCCTGATATCACCTCGTAAATTAAATCTTCAGATGGAGTATCGACGTCAGTTGTCAATAAATTATCTCGCGTTATTGTTTGATTTTGATTTTGTACAACGGTGATGTGCTCATTTAACTCGAGTTTAAATTCCTCGTCATTAACGGGCGTAATCGTCACTGGAACGCTGACGTTGCAGAGAAAAACTTGACGCGTCAGTTGTGAAGCAACGAGATAGAGAGAAAATCCAATAGTGTCTTCCGTCGTGTCAGAGTGATCATGAAAATAAGCGACGTCTCCACTTTCCAGCTGAGGCTGCTCGAAGGTTGTGATATTCAAATCTGGCAGTAGCATCACGTGACCATGTTGAGGACGATTAGCCAGTTTTAATCTCACAGTTGGCTCGGTAATACCGGATTTTGTTTTTAGAAAATAAATTATTCCACTGATGTTCATGAGAACTGCCGCTTTTCCACCTTCTTCCACTCTCACTGTTGTTGGAACAACGTATCTGTCCAGTCCGCCACTCGAGACTGAAATGTCTATTCTAAACACCTAAAAAAAAAAGAGAATTTGTTTTAAAAATAAATTTGGAAATTTCGACACAAAAAATTAATTTCAATGTTTTTATTTAATTTTTCATACTTTGATACTTGTAGTACAGATTCTCGTAGTTCTTCAATTTCTAGAATTTTTGAACAATTTGATTTCGAATTTTAATTTATTCAGGCCTCGGATCGACTTTAAGGCGCAAAAGAAAATTTATATTAATAAATCGTTGTATTCCAGTAATCTGTTTGCAGTTTGCTTTTTTTTGTTTCCTAATTTTTAAATAATTTTTATTTTTATTTTTATTTTTAAATGATTAAAAATTTCAAATTAACTAAACCTTCTGATAAATTATTTACAAAAACTTCAAATTTATGTAACTCTTACAAAAATTAATTGTTTTCTACAATTTTTAACAAAACTTCTTCTCTAAATTAAATATTTTCAATAATTTTTCAATAGCTCTTCGAGAATTTATTGCTATTTAAATAAAAAAATTTAATTTTTTATAAAAGGTCGAACTGAAACTCTTCACGGTTTTTTTCAGTGTTATTAAAATGAATTATTCAAAATATGTAACAAAAAAAATTTTTAATAATAAATTTTTTTAAAATTATAATAAAAATATCTTAAAATCAGTTTTTAAAATTATTTAAAAATAATTTTCACAAAATAATAAATTTTTCATTTACTTGTAATTGAAAAAATTTAAAACGATTGAAATTTAGTAAAATTTTTTGAAAATAATTCAATTTTTGGAAAATATTTTCAGAATTTTTGGAAAATATTAAAAAAAATAATCAAATTGTTGAAGAATTTTAATTACAAATATGTGAAAATACATGATTATTTTCTCAAAATTTTTTTTTGATAAATCTAAAAAAGTTGATTTTCTTTAATTTTAATTTTTGGAAAATAATTAAATTATACCAAAAAAGTGGTATTTTCTTGCAATAATTGCAAGAAACGGGGGAAAAGTTCTTTTTTTTAAAATAAGAAGCCATACTTTTGGAAAATTGTCAGCAAAAATCCAAAAAGTCATATTATCCGAGGCCTCTTTATCTATAAATTAAAATTTTTAATAAAACTTTCTATTTTTTTCAAGTTTTTAATAATTAATTTCCAATACTTAACTTTCAGGACTAAATTTTTAATTATCTGTGAATACTTAAGTTTTCTTATACTTAACTTCCAGGATTTATTGAGATTCAACATAAATAAATTATTTGAGAATTCTTCATTTTTTATTTTATTTTCTTTTTTCTTCATTTCAAATATTGCTTGTTCTTCATTCCTTGAATTCTTCGCTATTATAATTAGTGCCATTTTTATCATTCACGTGAGAACAAAAAAATAATTTGAGAAAAATTCATATAAATTTCTTCAGTATCATCTTGAAAACCGTTATTGTGAGAAATACTAATTTAATAGCAATTCGTTATTCCGCGTGGTATTTCATTTCTAATGTTTCATTTTCGTGTGATTTTTAAAATCCCGAAACTATACGTATACACGAATTATTATAAATTTTCACGAATCCGGTTAAAAAATGTAAATTAATGTTTATTCAAATTTCGATTTGAGTGAAACACGTTTTTAAATATTCAAACGAATAAAACGATAAATTTTGCGAAAATATAAGAAGAAATGCAAAATATCAAAAAAAAGTGTAAAACAGTTTTTAAAAAAAGTCGAAATGCAATTTTGTCGATAATTTTTCAAATCGAACATTGTCACGTTTCTACAAGATTTTTCCAACGATTTCAGAATAATTTTAACTCCCTTATAAGTAGAAATTGGACAGACAGTCAAATCAAAACTTAAGCCCTTTGACTTCATATTATCGTTCTTTAATGATGAAAAAAAATTATCACCAAAAAGTGTTCAAGGGGAAAAAAGCTTTTTTCCACTTGGAAGACTAAACTTTGCAAGTAAATTATTAAAATGTCTTGAAATTAAAAAATGATTTTCTAAACAAAAAAATCAAAAATTACAATTATTCTAAAATTCTATCTACAATTATTCATTTTTTTAAAATAAATAATAATAAAGAATAAAATAATAATTAATAAAAAATACTTAATTATATAAAATGAAATAAATAATTTAAATATTTAATTAAATTTATTTAAAAATAAAAATATTTGTTTCCAAAAAATATTTGTAAATTAAAATATTTAAGAATTTAAGGAAAAATCCGATAAACAATGAAAATAAAAGTTGATCCAACTCAATGCTTTTTACTTTTAAATAAAAACAAAAATTTTTTGTAATTTCAACTGCATTTTGGTAAAAGGGTATTTAATTTTCAACAATTTAAATTATTGAAAACATTTAATTGTTTGATATGTTAAAATTTTAATTGTTTGCTCTGTTACCAGAATGTGTTTAAAGTTTAAATTGTTTTTTTTTTTAATTTAAAAATAGAAAATATGAACTCGGACAAATTTTTGTTTTTACTGCCCGACAGATGTTTCCTTCAACTTCATTTATTTCTAAAAATAATATTTAAAATTATTATTATAAAAATAATTTCTAAAAAGAAATAAAAAATATTTTTTTTAAAATTTAGTAAATTGAAAAAATACAATTTTATATTAAATATGATTTTTTAATATCCATTTTTTAAAAGTTCAATTAGTTTCTTATATCATAATTTTTAAATTTATAATTTCTTATTTGAATTTTTTTTCTAAATTTTATAATAATTTTGTTATTTCATTTTTTAAATTTACTGTTTTTTATTTTAATTTGGTTATTCTAAAGAATTTATTTCTATTAAAATTTCTATTGTTGTTTTCAAAATCTAAAATTAAAATTTATTTCAATGAATTTGAATAGCTTAAGTTGTAATATTTAAGAAAAGAAATATTATAGAAATAATTAAGCAAAAATTTGCTCTCAAAATTTTGATTATTTAATATTTTGTATTTTTTCATTAAAATTATAGGAAATGATTTTAATTTTTATCCAAAAATAACAATAAAAGTAGATAAAATTGGCACTGTTTTACGATAGATATTTTTAAAAATCATCTTTTTCTATTCACTTTTCAAATATTGAACTTTCAATATTTGACTTGAAATTTTTCAGAACTTTCAATATTGGATTTGAAATTCTTAACTTTTCAATATTAAATATAAAATACTTTATTTTCTATTTATCTTATAAAATACTTAATTCTCAATAATTAAAAATATCCAATTTTCAATACTTCAATATTAATGTTTAACAAATAAATTGATTTTCTTACTTGGTTTGTAATTGGCATCGCATAATGAGTTTCAACTTCAAACGTGAATGAATCGTTTGCCAAAAGATCCATAAATTGTTTCGTATGCTCATAAGTAACTTTATTTTCATTAAGATTACTTTGGGTAAACTTATTGACTTCCTGCCAGGCGCCTTCGCTCGTTTCCATTATAATTTTTCCCATTCTCGGCGGATTTTTGACAATGTATTTAATTTCTCGGTCATTATCGGAGCAAGTCGTTAACAGTAATTTATCAGAGATCGTCTTCCTCGTTAACGGAAAAACATTCAAGGCATTGTTCCTTGTTATTAAGAGTTGAACGGGTTTCGTTACAATTTTAATCGTGTAAATGTCCGTTGCATGAATGCCATCGAATAAAGCGAAGGAAAATTGAGTATCACTTCCATCTGGAAAATAAAAAAAAAACTGTTTTTTAATCTAATCTTCTTAAACATATTAAAGTCTATTAAAATAGAGAGTAGTAAGTATGGGGTTGCCACAAAAATATGATTTTATTTTTTCCAGACTTTTCCCTGATTTTCAGACTGAACTGAATTATCATTTTACCAACGGAAATATATGAAATTATATAATATATAAAAATAAAATATATATATAAATTATATAATATATAATATCCTTTGAAATTCAATAATTTATAAGCATTGATACTGCAACGTTCATAAATTTTTTTTCAAGATTTCAATTCAATTATCTTCTAGAATTTTTAAATAAAATTCTTCTCTAATTCAATTATTTTTAATAATTTTCGAGAAAGTTCCTTAAGAATTCAATTATTTAGGTTGAAGAAAAAAAGTTTACCCAAAATAATTCTGAAATCCAAGGATTATAGAATTATTTTTTAATTATTTCAAAATTCTTCTCTAATTCAATTATTTTTAATAGTTTTTTAATAAAGTTCCTTAAGAATTCAATTATTTATTTAAAGAAAAAAAAGTTAAATAATTACAATGAAATCCATGGATTTCACAATTATTTTAGATGCACTTGTTTACAATTTAATTTAATGAAATTTCAGTAATATAAAAGTATTCAATTAAATATATAATATAAAAAAATACAACTAATTTGAAAAGAATTTGAATAAAAATATTTTAACATACTAACTTCTTCAGAATATGTAAAAATATATTTCAAAAGATGCCCTTTTTTTATAACTTTTTATATTACTTTTTGTAATTTTTGCCTTGTATTGAGAATAATTCAATTTTTATATAGGTATTATAAAGTTTAAAAATAATTAAATTCTTTTGAGAAATTTTATTAAAATTATATTGAAAACAATTGAATTCCTGTGAAGAATTTTATTATATGTATGAAAATAATGCTTGAAAATTTGTTCGACGAATTTAATTAAAATTGAATTGAAATTAATGTAATTCTTATTGAATAGAATTTTATTAAAATGTATTAAAAATAATTGAATTCTTCCGAAAAATCTTATTAAAATGTTATTTGAAAATAATTGATATTGTGCGAAGAATTTTAATAGAGTTAATTTTTTTTTAAATTTTTTAATGTAAATTTATTCAAAAAAATTGATAATATTTTAAAATAAAAAAGTTTCTAATTTACATAATAATAAAAAATTAAATACGTATGTAGTTTTGCGCTAAACATTTGGTAGTTATTTATATGATTTATAAAAATTGAAAGCACAACTTTTATAAAATTTATTATTTTTTAAATTATTCAAATAAAATTATTCGCAAAATATTTTATAAATATTAATTTTTCGATAGTTTTTCAAGAATTAAATTATTTGAAATAAATTTAATTTCGAATATATAAACTTTAATTATTGTTAATGTTACAAATATAGAAAGAATAAGAATTGGAAATTAAATTAAACCTTTTCAGTATTTTTTAAGCTGCTGGACAATAAAATTCAGAATTTTTTTATGAATTCTAGAAAATGAATATTTTTTCAATATTTTTAATAAAATTCCCTGATTTTCCTGACCTATGGCAAATAGAGAAAGTATAGGTAAATTTAAACAATAGTAAAAATAATTGGATATTGGGCCAAAAAATGTTCTCATGGTCAAAATAGAATTTTTTTTTCATTAAATCGAACGTTTTATTTATACTCGACTTTTGATCAAATGAAATTTGCACTAAACGAAATATTGGAAAAATGCAGGAGTAGAATTAATATTAGTTTTTCTTTTGAAGCTTTAGTGAAAATATTAAAAAATGAAAACTCACTGGTGTGGGTGAATAGAACTTTTCCATCGTTGATTTGCTGTTGACTGAAAATATAAACATCCCTCTCGGGAATTGTTGTGAGTGAAATAAATCCATTCTTGACACTGGTGACATTATAAATGACATCATCAGGAGAAGTATCATTGTCAATGGCATGTAATTCAGAATTTGAAAGTACAATTGAACCTCCTTGCCAAACACTCAAATTTGTTTCACTCGAAAGTATTGGTACCTCGTCATTAACTGGTTGTACATTAATCCAAACTTTGAATGGTTCACTCGTCTTATCGCCAGTTGTTACAATCATTTTGAAACTATCACTAAATGACTCATCACCATTATGTTTATAAATAATTATTCCCGAATTTATGTGTTTTTGAGAAAATCTTTTCACTTGTGAATTTCTCGTTGAATCAATAATAGAGCCGTGTTTTGGCTTTTCTTCTATCGTATAATCAGTTATTTTCCCCGCATAATATGAGGTAATTGCGTAAAAATCACTCGGCGTAAATGCCACAGTTTTACCTTCAATCACCGTTAAATTGTGAGCACTCATGTACAATTTTTCTGGTATCATGACAAAATTCACCACAAGACCACGTAGCCATGTGATTCCATTGGTGACATCAACAACAAATCTGTCACGAGTTTGATTTATCACTGCCTGCACGTAATATAAACGGTCCTCATTGATTAAATTTTGCTCAAAATGTCTCACCAATGTTCCACTATAATCGTCCTTAGTCTCATCGCTAACATCATCTGGCGATTGTATTTCCAAATAGCCATTTCTAGGCCACTCCTGAAGATAATACGTAATTTGATTAGCCGGTATTTTTGGATGCATTATCTCGAGACTCTTGTTACTAATAAGAATACTCGTCGCCTCTTCGACAAATATCGTTCTATTATTCTGCACAATAAGACTCTCCCAATAACTCTCGGGATAAATTTTCACACCCAATAATCCCTGTGTTTCCGCTCCTCTCGCCGAAACATGAAATTTCACACTATCTTTCGTGGATGAAACATCCAGATGTTTATACGTCACAAGACCTTTCGTTAATTCATTTTGATTAAAATCCACACACTCTCTCAAATGTTTCATAAATATTCCAAATTTCGGTTTCTCTAGAATCGTAAATTTAATATCCTTCTCGGTCGCATAGACATTCGTTTCCAAATCAATTTCCTTGTTTGTAAGTGTTGCTGACTTATTAAATTGAACAACCAAATAATTACCGAGCTGAAGATTAATATACGGCGCACTCGCTTGTATCTCCAATTCACCGGGAGTTGATATTTGACCATCAGTGACGGTGAATTTGAAAATTCCATTATCATCACCATAGTGACGAAACATAATCATTTCATTGTTGACATCCTCTTGAGTGAATTGATTCAACTGAACGGAAAAATCCGTAATTTTATAAAGACCACCATTCTCAATGTTTTTCTTGGTGTAAACTAAATTACTCGGTTTTGTATCGACATCCTTGTCGACATAAAGTAAATCCTTGCTTGTCAAGAGTCGTTCACCTTTTGATACAACATAAAACACTTTGCGATCAACTCTCTCGGGTGGATTGTCATTTTTCATTGTGACATCGATCCGAAAGTTGCCAATGTACATAAAATCGATGCCATTATTCGAAATTGCTAAAAACTGAAAATTATCTTCTCTCGTTTCGGAATCGTCATGAATATAGTAGACTAATTGTGACGAAAGTTCTTCTAATGTGAAATAAGTTGTTTTTGATCTAACGATAGAATTGGAATTATTCATAACCAACAACCATCCATGATTTGGTCCGCTAGTGATATTAAAATACAAACCAGTCACTCCATACTCAGCAAAATTTGTCTTAACAACCTTCACTAATACTTTCGAACCCTCCTCAACTTGTAAATTCTCGATACTTTCCGGAACTTTCATATTCTTCGCCAGCAAATGTCTGAATGTTAAAATCGAAGATATATCACTGCAATGAGGTGCGGAAACCTTAAAGAGAAATTTATCCTCAATATTCGAATAAGCTTTTCGATAAAGTCTGTATTTCAATTTTCCCGAATCAACATCATCCTGTGTGAATGTATTGGACTTTTTGAGAATTTGCTGAATCAGTACAAGATCACCGTACCTTGGAATTACCTCTATTCGATAAATAATTTTATTCGATGGAGTAATCAAGGGATTCGTTTGATACCGTAAACTCTGTGTACTTATAGACACATCGGCGACGTTTGTAAAGTTAATTCCGTACTTTCGCATTTCCTTCAATTCAAGATCAATGAATGTAACATTAAATTCAAAAGTCTGTTGAATTCGAACTTCTCTAACACTCGCTTGAAATTTAAATCTATCGTAACTGGGACTGCTAATATTGTGTATATAACGAATACTTTGCATTTCAACATCTTTACTACTGAAATAATCGACATCCTTCCAATTTCCGCTTTGATTTTTGATTCTTTGAATGGATCCGTATTGAGGTGGCACCACAATATCATAACGAATTTCAATACTTGAATCATCCGAGTTTGTTAGAAAAGAAAGATTGGCAGGCGTTATGTAGGAGAATGAACGATGCACTACAACCAATCCTGTGTTGTGGTGTAATTTGATCGACAAAGAATAAGCGGACACACGTAAACTAGCTGGCTTGCTTGTCTCCATTCCATCACTCACTTGTAGCTTCAACATTGCATTCGATTTGGCTGCAAAAAAAAGAACCTTTTAAAATTTTTTTTTCTCTATTAAAAAAAAACAGGGTGTCTACTATTTTCGTTTAACAAAATTCCCGGTTTTTTCCCAGCTTTGTCCTAATTTTTCCCGGTTTTTTATTCTCATCAAATTTAAATTTATTTGATTTCGAAAGAAAAAATTTAATAAAAAACCGCTTAAAAAAATTTTATTAGAGTTTTTATAAATAATTAAATTTTTTTGACGACTTTCTTTAAATTTTTTGAAAATAATGTTTTCTTAATAATTTTAATTACAAATTTGGAAAATAATTGAATTTTTACAAAGAATTTCATTAAAATTAAAAAAAATAATTAAATTCAATCAAGAAATTTTATTGATAGAGTAGAAATTGAAAATAATTGAATTTTGACAAATTTTTCGATAATAATTCTATTGTTTATTTATTTATTTATTGTTACAAAGAATTTAATTAAAATTTCTAAAAATAATTAATATCTTTCAGGAAATGTAATTAAAACTGTATTGAAAACAATAAATTATTAAATTCTAATAAACAAATTATATTAAAATTTATAAGAATAATTGCATTTTTCGAGAAATTTCTTTAAAATTGTATTAAAAATAATTTAAATCCTCCAATGAGTTTTATTAGTTATGAAAAAAATTAAATGTTTGTAAAGAATTTTAGTAAACATTTTTTAAAATAATTGAATTCCTGAGAATAATTTTATTATTTATAAAAGTAATTGAATTCTAGCATAGAAATTTGAAGAATTTGATAAAAATATTTTTAAATAATTGATTTTTTTCAAAAGATTTTAGGAAAATTGTGTTTTAAATAATTGAATTCATGTGAAGAATATTTTTTAAAAATAATATTCAAAAGAATTTATTAACTCTAAAGAATTTTGCTACATATTTATGGAAATAATTGAATTCTTGAGAAGAATTTTTTTACAGTTTCTAGAAATAATTGAATTCTTTCGACGAATTTTAATAAAATTTTTAAGAATAATTACATTTTTCGAGGAATTTGATTAAAATTGTATTAAAAATAATTGAAATTCTGCAATGAGTTTTACTATTTATGAAAATAATTGAATATATTGCAAAGAAATTATTAAAAATAAAATTATAATTACGGTGACTAACTTCCCTTGATTATTTCCGAAAAATTGAAATAAAATTCTTTAAAAGAATTTAATTATTTTTAAGGGCATTTGAACCATTATGACGTCACAGTTTGTTCAAAGCATTTGTTCTAAATACGTGACGTCATAATGGTTCAAATTCCCTTAATAGAATGTAAAGAAATTTCAATTATTTCAAAAATTTTCAATTATTTGTTTATAAAAATTCAATTATCTTGAAACAATAGAATTGAAAAATTTCAAAAATCTTATTTTTCAGAATTTTCAAAAAAACTTTGCGAAAATTCAATGTTATTAAAAAATTTTACATAAGTTTGTATGTTTTTTTAAATTAACTAAAAAAAATTTTAATTATTAATCTTCGCACTAAGAAACATGAATACATTAGAATGTGACTCTTTATAAAATTCAATTATTTATCCATTATTAAATTAAAATACTTTGAAAATTCGATAAAAAATTTAATTATTTTCAGTTGAATTTCACAAAATTTCTATGCATTCGATAATTTTTTAAAAAATTTATTTACACACTATATTTGAATCAGTGACTGATTTTTTCGATTTTTTACTATCAAATTAATTATTTTTAGCTAATTCAAATTTAGAGAACAGTATAAATATCTATAAAAATTGAAATAAAAAACGATTTTTTAAAAACAAATTAAAATAATAAAACTTTTTTTAATTTGGTGAAAAAATTCCCGGTTTAGCATAAAATTCCTGGCTTATTTCCGGTTTTTTCCGGTCAAACTAAATTTCCGGCTACTTCCCGGTTTTCTCGGATTTCCCGGTTAGTAGACACCCTGAAAAGGAAAGAAAGAAAAATCCACCATTGATTAATCAATCCTTTGAAAATGGAAATTTTAAACTATAAAAAATAATAAAATATTCATTCGTGAAAAACATCAAAAAGCTATTACGACATTCTCACTCCCCACATTTCGAAGAAATGGAAAAATGGAAAAATAAAAAGTTTTACTTTCTTCTTTAATTAAACCAAGTTTCTCAGTTTGTTCAACTTCAAATAATTTCCTTATAAAACTTTTGTCACCGCAGTCTAATTATTGTTCATAACTGCAAATTTTGACTCTGTCTATGTGCATACAATTATTTCTTTTTATGTCAAATGGATTCTCCACAAGGATTTTTTCTTCTTGATCTTTTTGAACGGTTCCAGTGAAATTGTGTAGTGATACCTTGAATATTATTTACTTTGAAATCCATTCAGGTATTGTTCCTATTGTCTTACAAGTATTTGTTTCTTAGTGACTCAGTGATTTGTGAAGTTGAATTTTCATCAGCTGTAAACAATTATGTCTTTGACAGCTGCTGTCTCTCTCTCTGAGGAACAGAGATGGGACAATTTACTTTCGTCGATTGAGAAATTGACATTTTCAAATAACGAAATGCGCGCAGAAATTCGTTCCAACACAAACAGTGTGGATTCCCTGAGCCGCCAATTGAGCAGGCTAGAAATTAAGACAAGTGAATCGGATAGAAGAATAACAATGATTGATAAAATTAATCGAGCTAAAAACTTGATTCTGTTTAATTTGGAGGACTCGGAGAAAACCAACGAGAACTTATTTAACGAAGTCTCGAGCATTTTTTCGAAGGTTGGCCTTCAGATTCCAGAGGTTGCTTACGATGATATATTTCGTCTGGGAAAAAATAAGGGAAGACGCCCGATAATGATTAGGTTTATAGCCTCCAGATGGGTGAGGTTGGTTTTCGGAAGGATTAAGGACCTGAGACAACTGAACTTGATCATAGCTAACGACCTATCAATTGAAGAACGTGAGACTCGTCGAGCGCAACTGACCAAAGTTCATGAGCTCAGAGACGCTGGATACCAGGCCAAGATGAAGGGGTTAAGGATCTTTGTCGACGACATTTTAGTTTCCACAAATGAAATTGAGGTCCTGATAAGGAAAAAAGTATCACATATAAATAATTTGGATGATGGCGAACCTGATTCTCCTTTTCATACCCCAACATCTCATAAGACAAATAAAAAGGGAGGCAAAGTTGGACGTCCCAGAAAGAATTCCATTTTGGATCCTAAACCCTCTCTAAATAACAAATTGATCGACAAGTATCTGAAACCGGAGGCTACCCCCTCCCACGAGTCAACTAGTGCGAGAGATCAGAGATTTACCAAGAGAATGGAGTTTCAAAATAAAGAATAGCAGATAAGAGGTATTCAAACGGGGACAGACTCTTCGAGACCGAGCTCGTGTTTTTCTTCTCAACGGCGGCTACAACCAAGAATCATTTTTTGGAACCTTCATGGGATTGGTAACATTGAGGATATTGTGAGTGTTATGAGAGAAGATGATATCCTGGCAGTTAGTGAAACCTGGTCGACCAATCAGAATTTAAGATTCCATGCAATGCCAAATTTTGCTTCCATCGTTGCGCCTGCCCAGAAGAGTAACCAGGTTGGCAGACCAAGGGGTGGTCTCTTGCTAGCTTACGACGCTAATCTATACACATCGGACATTTTATCTATTTCTCATTTTTATATTTTTATTAATTTTAAATTTAAAGATTGTAATTTTATTTGTGGCCTGACTTACTTCTCGCCAGGTATGAATTTTTATGTTTATTTGGACGAAATAATCAGATGCATTAATTCTATTTCAGAACGCTTCCCAGAACTTCCCTTTATTATGGGGGGAGATTTCAATTGTAGAGTTGGCGAGCTTAACCAGTTAAATTCAGACATTTTATACTCACAGGGTCTAAATAATGTAAGAGAATCATTAGATCAAACAATTAATTATAAGGGTCGATCTTTAATAGAGAATATGGAGGCAAACAATTTTGTACTGTTGAACGGTCGCTCTCGAGGGGATAGTCCGGCGAAATTTACTTTTGTGGGACCACAGGGAAACAGTGTAATCGACTTGGTATGGTGTTCGCTTTCCGGATTGTCGCTATATTGTGACCTTGAGGTTCTCCACATCCCCACTCTTTCAGACCATCTCCCGGTGACTATATCTCTTTCCCCCACTTGGGAAAAAGAGAGGGTTACGAATTTAAATTCTCGATACAGAAATAAATTAAAGTTCGATAAGAACAATAGGGTCCTTTTCTCGAATCAGATGGCTTGGAGAGGGGAGGTGGCGAATTTGGAGGGAGACGTGAACAATTTAAATACGACGCTGGTATCTACTGTATGTTGTGTGGCAAGAGAACTGGGAATGGAGAGGGAGAACTCGAGTTCCATCGGGGACAAGCGTAAACCGTGGTTTGATTGGGCATGTAAGAAGGCTAAACGTCAACTCTCCACTGCTCTCGGAATGGCAAAGAGGAATAATTTTACACAAAATTTTAAGGATAATTTTCTGAACAAAAAACGTAAATTTCGAGATCTGGTTAACCTAAAGAAAAAAAATTATAACAAAAAATTAATTAATAATTTCAATAATTGTAAGAATTCTTCTCTCTTTTGGCAAGCCGTGAGGTCAGTGAGAGGTGGGCTTCCGAAAAACAGATCGAATATTAGCTTAAAGGCATGGTATAAGTTTCTGACTGAGAGTTTTCCCCCGCCAATTGTTAACCCCACTCCGGGACCCCAGCTCAGGTTGTCGCATCCTACTCTGGACGGTGACATATCCACCGACGAAATATTAAGGTCTCTGGCCCGCTGCAAAAATGGGAGTGCTCCCGGAATCGACGAGATAGGATACGAATTTTATAGGAACTTACCTCAAAACTGGATTCTTTTTACTCAACATTTTTATAATTCAATCCTTAAGTCAGAAATAGTTCCAACTCAATGGGGTAAATTGGCCACTTTTATGATATATAAAAAGGGAATGGTAAATGAACTCTCAAATTATAGACCTATTACACTGGTCAACTGTATATCAAAAATTTTCACTCAAATTCTTAGCAATCGACTAATTAAATGGGCTACAGATAATAATTTATTCCCTGAATCACAAGCAGGTTTTAGAGGTGGGAGAAGTTGTCTTGACAACATCTTCACGCTTCAGGCTCTGATTCAGATTCACTTAAGAAACCCGGGATCCGCGGTCTACGCCCTATTCGTCGATTTCAAGGGAGCGTTCCCATCAGTTGCACATGACTTACTATGGGAGAAACTACACTGGCTGGGTATGAGTTCTAAGATGATAAATATCCTAAGGAGCTTTTACTCAGTGGCTTCGACGTGTATTAGAACAAACGAGGGTGACACGGATTTCGTGGACGTCTCAAAGGGGGTATTACAGGGAGAGGTATTGAGCCCTTATTTATTTCTTTTGTTTATCTCGGACATCGATAAATTTTTTGTTAATAGGGGTTGTCGGGGCCTATCGATAAACAGCATGATTGAGGTTCTATTGTTAGGGTATGCTGATGACCTGGTGTTTCTCTCAGATACCCCAGTGGAAGCCACGAGAAAGCTTGAAGCGTTGTTAGACTACTGTGAAGTAAACAAGTTGACTGTAAACATACGAAAAACAAAAATTGTCATTTTTACAAGAAGCGGTAATCATAAAGCAAACAAAATTAGCTCTTTCAAGTACGGCACGAGTCTGATTGAAGTTGTAAAAGAGTATGAATATTTAGGGATACCTTTTGTTGGTTCATGCTCCTTCTTCCAGGCCGCTACCAAGGCTATCAGCGCTGCTAATACAGCTATAGGAAGTATCCTACACATTGCACACTCAATGGGGAAGGCCTCATGGAGATCATACACCAAGCTTTTTGAAAGCTTGGCGGTGAGCACGCTTTTTTATGGGGTTCAGGTTTGGGGGATTTGCTATATCGACTCAGTAGAAAAAGTTCAAACTTCTTTTTTAAAGAGACTCCTGTCTCTCCCACTGAACACACCTGGTTGGGCTGTTAGACTTGAAACGGGTGCGATTCGACTGGAGCTTAAAGTCTTGAAATACATTCTAAATTGGATCCTAAGGATCTCTCGCATGGACAATTCTAGATACCCCAGAATGTGTTTCGAAAGGCTGAGAGCTCTGTCGATATCGTCTCCGGAGTATAGGTTTAACTGGTTCACTCAGCTGAAGGTCGCTATTTTTGAACCATTAGATATACTCGATTGTTGGCGGAACCTATCTCTGGACTCCATCGCAAGCCTTAGAGAACCTATCCTTGAGAGTTGCAAAGCTAGCTGTATCATTCGCGATAAAAACCGTCAATCAATATCGTCAAGCTTACTGATTTACCCGGATTTGTCTCTACAAGATGGCCCTCAGCCGTACTTGCTTTCTGGTCTCTCACTATTTTATAAAAGAATATATGCACAATCTCGCCTCTTAAATAGATATATTACACGTATAAATTGTGGTTCCTTTTCTTATTCTTTTCAAATTGATAACGATTGTCCCCTCTGCGGCCTGGAGGAAGAAAGTTTGTTCCACTTATTGTTCCGCTGTCCAGCATGTACGCACTTGTGTGAGAGGACTTTCCATCAAACCTCCCGTCCCGCGGACATTATAGAGAATGGAATGAAAATATTATCTGTATCAGATATAAATGCGATAAAAGCATATTGTAGACTGATTTTGTTACTGCTCAGAGAATGTAAATTAAGAGAATCTCCATGAATTGTTCCTTACTTAAACTAAGACTAAAATAAAAATAATTTTAATATTGCGTTACCCCGCTTGTAATACCAAATTTGGATAAACAAGTGTACTATTGTAAGATGTAATATTCTTATTCAATAAATTATATATTTACTTTCCTTTACTTTATATTTCAAGTTACATAATTGAAATAATATCAACATTGTAATAGTTACATTTATTACATTTATATTCAATGAATTCTAATATTTCCATTATTTCCCTTTAAGTTGTCAATTAATTTAGTCAATCAATTATTATCACCGAAAAGTCTAAAATTAGAAATCGAGACTTTTTCACATAAAAATTATTTTGTATATATTTTCTATAAAAAATAAATTATTTTTATTTTCTCTTTTTTTATCTTTATTTTCCAAATTCACTTTAGTAAATTAATAATTATCACTAACAAAATTAAGAATAAAATTCAATTCAATTAAAAAAAATGATCGTTCAACTGAATGTTTTATATTTTAATAAAATTTAAGGCTTTTTCACAATTCACAACAAAAAATAACTTATTATTATTTTTTATTTTTATTCTCCATAAATTCACTTTACTAAAATAATAAAAAATTATATACATATGTGACGCTCCACGAGAAAAGGAACCTTATTTACTCTTGTCATAAGGTCCCTTTTCTCGTGGACGGTCACATATTCAGAATGCAGATTTGTACTCTTTTAAATTAAATCATTTGTATTATTAAATACTAGAAAATTTGAACATAATAAATTAAAAAAATAAAGCAAGAGTGGATAAATTAAATTTTGAATGAATATATTAAATTTCAAATCATTATTGAGTTCGTGTTTAATTAAAATTATAATTGATTTGAAATTAAAAGATTTAAAATTCGGAAAATTATACTACATATATGTAATATATTACATTATAAGTATTATATATATTATATTATACCTAAATATAAAATCTTTTTTTAATTGATTTGAATTATTTTTCGATTTCTAATAATTAATCTTCAGACAGATTTAAATTTCGTTAATATTAAATTTCAAATCTGGGTTGCCACAAAAATTTGATTTTCTTTTTCTCTGAATCAAAAAAAAAAAAAAAATACAATAGGAGCTCAATTGTAAAAAAAATTATAATTTTTAAAAACAAAAATTTGATTATAAACTTTAAACAATAGAAATAAAATATTTAATAAAATGAATGTGTCGATTCGATTATATTTAAAAATTTCAATAAAAATCTTCAAAAAATTCTACCTATTATTTTTATACAATTTTAGAAAATTTAAATTATTCAAAAAAATTTTATATACCTTTAAAAATTCTAATAAAATTCTTTAACAAATTGAATTAATTTTATAATTCAATTTCACAAAATTATTTAATTACTTTAACAATTCTTTAAAAAAATGTTTTCAATTTAAAAATTCAAGTAATTTGAAAAAATTGAATTACAATTTCTCAGAAATAAAATTATTCAAAACTTAAATAATTTTTAAAATAAATATTCAATTAAATAAATTAATTTCTTTGAAGAAATTAAAATGTTCATAAACATTAATTTAAAACAATTAATTCCAAAAATTGCAACAGTTTTTAACTAATATTCATAAGAATTTATTTTAATAATTCTAAGAATTTAATATTATTCCAGTACTTTTGAAAAAATTCTCTGTGGCATCGATGAAAATAATTGAATTTTATATTTCACTAATGGTTTGAAATTTAAATGATTTAAAATTTCGATAAATTGTATAAAATTGAAAAATCTTCGTTTAAACTGAAATAATTAAAAATTGTATAACTTAAAATTGAGACTATTATTATAGATTCGAATTTCGACAATATCAAATTTAAAAGCATTGAATTTGTTTAACATTTGAATATTTGTATTAATATAATAAATTATTAATACCTATTAATAATATTTAATTTATTTAAACTATTTTGAAAATAAATTATATTTGAAAAGGTGTAACAGCACAAACTTATCAATATGTGGACGTCCGCATGAAAAGGGACCACTTTGGCACTATTGGACTTATCTATATGGGCGAATTCCTGACAAAATTTGGAAAATTTTGAGTGATCTTACAACCTTTTTGGTGAAAAATTCGATAAGTTACAGAATTTTAAAGTTTGGAGTATCAAATACGTCATTTCGAGAAAAACGAAATCAAAGATTGTAATATGAATATCTTTAGTTCTTCTGGGAAGTTATTCAGATAAGAGTTGATTTAAGTCTAGTACACCCTTAGGATTGAAAATCAATAGGTTTCGAATTCCCCCCTCCCCCCTTCATTTTTTAACAATGACAAAATAATGGATCTCCGACAAAGTGGTCCCTTTTCTAAAAATACGGTTATTAATTAATAAAGTGGAATATTTAACGAATTTAAAGGTTTGTTGTTATTTTTTAAAGTTATTTCAAGCAAAGAAAAGAAAAGTAGCCTAAAAAAATTTTTTAAGCGACTTTATTATAAAAAATCTTAAAAAAAATTAAAAATTTCATTTCTAAAAACACGAAATTAAAAATTGTAATGCGAATTTCTCTGGCTCTTCTGGGAAGTTATTCAGATAAGAGTTGTTTTAAGTCTAGTACACCCTTAAGATTGAAAATCAATAGGTTTCGAATTTTTCCCTCCCTTCGTTTTGAAACAATGAAAAAATAACAGATTTCCGACAAAGTGGTCCCTTTTCATTTTTTTTTCTAACAACGAAATAAAATACTTAGAGTGTCAATAAATTAATAAAAACTGCATGAATCGACGTGGTAGACCCTGTAGATTAAGAAAAAAAGATAAAAAAAATTTCGATATTTTTCTTTAAAATTAGTAAATTGCGAATATCTCGGAATCTAGAACCGACAAAGTGGTCCCTTTTCATGCGGACGTCCACATATATTGATGGGACAAAATTTTATAAGTAAATACTAAATAGAAAAAGATCGATAACAATCTGCAATAAAAATAAAAAAATGTTTCCTTTGACCTTTTATTTGAATGGAAAAATTATAAACCAGAAAATATAAAGAGTTGAAAGGAAGAAATGTCTATCAATAATTATTATATTAACAAAACATGACATGAAAGAAAAATATTGCGGAATAATTGATCATCTTTTTTCTTTTTTTACAGAAATAAGCTGAGTGAAATTAATAAAACGTTGGAATCCAATAAATGTCTATGAAGATTAAAGAAGTGAAAATTCAGTTATTTATTAAAGAGAAGGGAGAAAAGTGAAGAAGAAGAAGAAAAAAAAAAGAAATTACCGTTTCCGCGATGAACGTAGGCGATTAATCCTTGGAGTAATTCCTCTTGCGTGAACGTATCGATAGGACGTGATGGATTCGTCACTTTTTCTACGTGGCCAGCATCCGTATCTGCACGAAGAACCGTGTATATCAGCGTTTCCGGAGGAGTATCAGCGTCAACGGTCCAAATTAATTCCTTCGTCAGCGTTTTTCTGGTTCCCTGAGCATTTAATTGCAGTTAACAATGACACACGTATACTCTCGGGCCATATACGCGAAGGCGAGAGTGAACATAAACGCTTATAGTGCAGTTGATTTCTATTCTATTCGTGATATATTGACGAGCTAATGTTCCCTCGATTAACTCTAAAGCATTTAATTGTCTTTCGAACTTAATATAATGTCAATAAATTTACTCACAAAATAATTGATATTTCTGCCTAATTATATTATCATGACGTTTATAATTGCACTCTTCGCCTTTAATTATTATAGGTACAGGGTTATTACAAAAATTTAATTTTCATTTTCCCTAATTTTCAGGCAAAATTTTCACCTTTTTGCCCTGTGCCTAAAAAATATTTCGATTCACTCTAAAAATTATTAGATACTCAAACAAATTTTCTATTACATTTATTTACGAATTTCTTTAATTGTAAAATTATCCGAAAACATCAATAACTTCATTTTTAATTAATATTCAAGCCTTTTCGAAATTTAACAACTTGTATAAGAATATATTAATATAAAATATATCTAAAAATATCGATCGATTTCTTCGTTTCATGATAATTAAAGATGACCGAGAGATAGAATCATTATTTTATATTATAAGAATGCTAACAACAATTCGCGCGCTAAAGCGCGTGGCTAACTTCTTACTGCCTTTTTTTAAATAAAATTAGCAATTTTAAACATAATAGAATTTAAAAATTTTCTAATTTAAATTTTTGTTGAAAACACTAAAAAAATTCAATTTTGGTGAAATTACAAATAATTGCAGAAATTATTTGAGAATCTTATTTCCTATGAAAAAATAATAATGATTAAATATTCTTGGCCAAATTAAAATTATATTCAAAAATGTTTCTCAATTCAATAATTTTCAATATTTACTATTTTAATAAAATTACCCAAAAAGAATTCAATTATTTAAAAAAAAAAATGTTAATAAAATTGTATGCAAACATTTAATTATTTTCATAAATAATAAACAAATTTTCACGGGAATTCAATTATTTTCATAAATAATAACATTTTTTTAAGGAATTCAATTATTTCCATGAAAAATAATTTAAAATTCTAGAAAGTTATAATTGAAATAAAATGATGAAAATAATTTTCATTAAGTTACAGTAACAATATTCTTATGATATAAAATAATGATTTTATCTCTCAGCCATCTTTAATTGTTATAAGTTGTTTAATTTAAAAAAGGTTTGAATTTGAAATTTTTGAATGTCTTAATTCCTGTGGAAAATCCTGTTCCAAAAATAAGATTAAAAATAGGAATTGTGCAAATATTTTTCTTCTTTTTCTAAAACAAAATAATAATTTTGTTAAAAAAAATTGTGATTCATAAAGAAAAATAATGCAAAATAAATAAATTTTCTATTTCTTAATCACAGTTGTTCAACAATTTTCTAATTTTGTTTAGAAGTAAAGAACAAAAATCTACATAATTTCAATTTGACAAAACATAATATAATATAAATATAATATATAAATTATTATAGTTAATTAATATAGTTAATTGTTACTGTAACTTCTTTAAAATTATTTTCAATATTTTAATACAATTATTATATTCTAGAATTTTCAACTAAAATTCTTTTTTAAATCAATTATTTTTAAGAATTTTTTAAAAAGTTCTTTGAGAATTTTCAAATTCATTTGTTTACAATTCAATTTTACGAAATTTCGATTATTCGGAAATTCTTTAATTAAATATGTATTAGAAAATAAAAAATTCAAATAATTTCCAAACAAAATTCAATTAAACTTTTTCAAAAAAATTAATTCTACAGAATTGTTATAGTTACAAATATGAAAAATTCAGATTTTAAAATATTTTAATTTGAAACCTTTTGCAAAATTCAATTACATATTTCTAAAAATTCACGTAATAATGCTTTTAATATTCAATTATTATCTAAAATTTTAACTGAAATTCCTTTTTATGAAATGAAAATCAATTTTTATTAGAAAATTCTACGAGATTTCAATTAGATAATTAAGTACAAAAATAAAAAATTTATTGAATAATTGAACGTTTCTTAAAATTAAAATCTCATAAAGACTTTTATCAACAAACTTTTAAAATAATTGAATTCTTTGGAAGAATTTTAATGAAATTTTCAGAAATAATTCCATTTTTTGAAAAAGTTGATTAAAATTTTATTAAAAATAATTAAAATTCTGTGATGAGTTTTGTTATTTATAAAAATAATTGAATTCCAGTAAAAAATTTTATTATTTATGAAAATAATTGAATTAGTGCGAAAAAATTTATAAAAAATTTGTCAATATTTGAATTCCTGTGAAATTTTTGCGAAGAATTTTATTACCTACTTTCGAAAATAATGGTATTTCTGCACTCATTTATAATTTCTCAAAAATTCAATTTTTTAGCGTTTTTAACTAAAATTCTTCTATAAATCCATTATTTTTAATAATTAATTCAATATATATTAAAAAATGTAACTAATTTCAGAAGAATTTGAATTGTTAAAATTTTTCAAAATCATAAAAGTTTTATTTTTTTATTTTTATTGTTTAAACAATTGTTCATTTTGTTGTCGGCTCTTTATTTAATTTAAATTCCTTGGATAGAAACTTTATTTTTTATTTATTTGACATTATTATGTTTGGGAGATTTTTCTGAAAATGCTACTTTTGAACTTAAAAACTAATATTTTTAATTTAATTTTTTTTTAAAACTAAATGGTTTTTTTATGTTAAAACTACTTTATTTTGTACTTAAGATTAAGAATTTAAGTTGAGCAAAATTAAATGTTTAAAATATTTAAGTTTGTTTTCTTTATGAAGAAAATTGACTTTGTTTTAATTTTTTTTTTATTATTTTTATTTGATTTGCGAGTTTGCATAAAAAATTATTGCGGTACAGTTTCTCTGAAACGTATTTTTTAAAACTTTTTTTTCTAATAAAGGTAAATTGCAAAAATAATTTTTTCTTATGAAGGTTATTTTTTTAAAATTTCTTTTTATTGTTAAAGGTCATTTTTAAAAGATTTTTTTTCTAAAAATATTCATTTTTTAATAACGGTCAATATATGATTAAAAAATAGAATTTATGAAAATTTTTTAATTCTTTAACAAAAAATAATTGAGATTTCGTTAAAAATTTAGTATCCAAAGTTATTTATAAATTAATATAGAAATTGTAATTTGGCAATTATTTTATTTACACTCCACTTGAATGCTTTTCTAGTTAATTAAATAAATATATTTGGAGCAAAAACAATGGTTATAACTAGATTATATGGCTGAAATTTAATCAAATTGCTAAACAAATTAAGGTTAAACTCTAATTACTGTAAATGATTTTCTCAAAATTATGTTAACTGCACCTAGTCTCTACTATTAATTACAAAACATTAACATTGTATTTTTATTATTTTAAATTAGCATTAAATAAATATAGGTATTTAAAATAAAAAAAAACTTGAACAAATTTTAATGAATTTTTAACTAATAAAACTTATTATAAAGAAAGAATTTGTTATAAATAGAAGTACCTACAAAAATTTGAGTAAGATTTTTAAGTAAAAAGAATCAATTTAGTCAGACAAATATTTGTTATTTTTTAAATTTATAGTTTTTAGTAATTTAGGAATTAATTTAATCGGACAAATATTTTTTATTCTTTAAATTTATACTTTTTAGTACCTAGTATAAGAATTAATTTAATGAGACGAATATGTGTTATTCTTTAAATTTATAATTTTACATAGTGGAAATTAATTTAATCTGATAGATGTTTTATTATTTTTTGAGTTCAGTTTTACTTTTAGGTAGTAAAATACAGTTCAGTCAGACATGATATTTGTCTTCTTCAAATTTATAGTATTCTAAGTAGTATAAAAATCAATCCTGCGGAGACCTTTATTATCTTAAGTAGTAAAAATCAATTTAGTCAGACAAATATTTATTCTCTTTTTAAATTTATTGTCTTGAAAGTAGTAAAAATCAATTTAGTCTGACAGAATTTCTATTATTTTTAGAGTTTAGTTTTAGAACAAATAAAAATCAATGCAGTCAGACAGGATATTTCAGGGCTCGAACCAGTGAAAGTATTTAAAAATACGAAAAAGTTCTTTGACAATTATCAAATCCATTTGTTTACAATATTTAATTTTACAAAATTTCAATTATTCGTAAATTCTTCAATTAAATATATATTAAAAAATAAAAACTTCAAATAATATTAAAAAACCGCAATTAAACTTTCTCAAAAAAAATTAATTCCACAGAAATGTTAGTTAAAAATATGAAAAATTCAAATTTTCAAAGATTTTAATATCTGAAACCTTTTCAAAATTCAATTAATTCTAAAAATTTATGCTCTAATGCTTTTAATATTCAATTATAATCTAAAATTTTAACTAAAATCCATTTTTAAATTAATTTTTATTAGAAAATTCAACCAAAATTCAATTCCAAAATTTTATTATTTACCAAAATAATTGAATCCCTGTAAAAATTTTATTATTTATGAAAATAATTGAATTATTGCGAAGAGATTTATAAAAAAATTTGTAAAAAATGAAATTTCTTTGCAATTTTTATTATTTTTTAAAAATAAATAAGGTTTTGTGTAGAATTTTATTAAATTTTTTTTTAAATAATTGAATTCTTTTGGAAAATTTTATTAGAATAGTAAATACCTATTAAAAATCATTAAATTGAGGAAAATTTTTGAAAATAATTGATATTTTTCCAAGAATTTTATTAAAATTTTTGAAAAAAATTGAATCTCGGAGAAGAATTTAATTATTTCTAAAGAAATTGAGATTTAAAAAAAAAATCAAAATACCGTAAACTGGGGCTATAAGGAACACCGGGGCTATAAGGAACAAAACTCTGTGTTCGGGTGGAGTTGAAGTTATCGGGGCCGTGTATGAATAAATTGTGTTACTTGCTTTTGAAAAATTGTTGCTGGGGTAACTGCCAATACTATTCAATGCAATAATTGCGACT